CTGGCGAAAACCCAACACCTCTCATCACCCCGAGAACACCATCCCCACAGTGAAGCATGGTGGTGGCAGCATCATGCTGTGGGGATGTTTTTCATTGGCAGGGACTGGGAAACTGGTCAGAATTGAAGGAATGATGGATGGCGCTAAATACAGGGAAACCTGTTTCAGTTCCAGAGATTTGAGACTGGGACGGAGGTTCACCTTCCAGCAGGACAATGACCCTAAGCATACTGCTAAAGCAACACTTGAGTGGTTTAAGGGGAAACATTTAAATATATTGGAATGGCCTAGTCAAAGCCCAGACCTCAATCCAGTTGAGAATCTGTGGTATGACTTAAAGATTGCTGTACACCAGCGGAACCCATCCAACTTGAAGGAGCTGGAGCAGTTTTGCCTTGAAGAATGGGCAAAAATCCCAGTGGCTAGATGTGCCAAGCTTATAGAGACATACCCCAAGAGACTTGCAGCTGTAATTGATGCAAAAGGTGGCTCTACAAAGTATTGACTTTGGGGTGAATAGTTCTGTTTTTTTGTCTTATTTCTTGTTTGTTTCACACAAAAAAATATTTAGCATCTTCAACGTAGGCATGTTGTGTAAATGAAATGATACAAACCCCCCCAAAATTCCAGGTTGTAAGGCAACAAAACAGGAAAAATGCCAAGGGGGGTGAATACTTTTGCAAGCCACTGTATCTTGTCTTCAAGGTAGACTAATTCCCAGGGCAAAGCATTTAAGTCATCCTGAATAAATTTGTTATAGCTCCTTTTTACAACAATTTTGGGTGGCTATTTTGGGACCTTTGTGTTCTTAGTTATTGTAATAATGCTATGATCGGTCCAGCCCAAAGGTACAGATTTAGCCTTTGTACGTTTTTCTGTATTACTGCAAAATATAAAATCAATACATGTTTCTGTTTGGTTGCCAAACCTGTTTCTGGATGATCTTGTGGTGGCATTAACGATTTGCATTAGATTTACACTGTCAGTGAATCTGGCAAGTCTGGATTTGTTGCCATCATTCTTGTCCTTCCAATTAATATTAAAATCTCAGAGAATGTATAGCTCTTTGTTTTCAGTGACATGGTCAATACTGTCACATATATCATCCAGGTAAGATACATTTGAACATGGTGGCCTGTACACACACCCCACCAATATTGGTGGTTGAAATGGTAAATGAACCTGTAGCCATAGTATTTCTATTTAATTTTTGCACAAGTCATCCCTCAACTTAAACGGTAAGTGACTCTGTGTGTGTATATATATTGCTATGCCACCACCTTGTTTGTTCCTGTCCTTTCTAATAATAGTATAACCACTTATGCTGACCTGCCCATAAGTAATAGAATGGACCAGATGGGTTTATGTGATTGCTAGAACATGCAATTTGTTTTTATGCACCAAGTCATAGACGTCATGGATCTTATTAGGGAGGCTACACACGTTTATATGGTTCTCACAGTTAATTTATTTTTAAAAAATAGTTTATTTTACCCCATTTTTCTCCCCAATTTCGTGATATCCAATTACGATCTTGTCTCATCGCTGCAACTCCCCAACGGGCTCGGGAGAGCCGAAGGTCGAGTCATGCGTCCTCCGAAACATGACCCGCCAAACTGCGCTTCTTAACACCCGCCCGCTTAACCCAGAAGCCAGCCACACCAATGTGACGGAGGAAACACTGTTCAACTGATGACCGAAGTCAGCCTGCAGGTGCCCGGCCCACCACAAGGAGTCTCTAGAGCACAATGAGCCAAGTAAAGCCCCCCCGGCCAAACCCTCCCCTAACCCAGACGGCGCTGGGCCAATTGGGCCCTAAGGTTCTCCTGGTCACGGCCGGTTGTGACACAGCCTGGGAATGAACCTGGGTCTGTAGTGACGCCTCAAGCACTACGATGCAGTGCCTTAGACCGCTGCGCCACTCGGGAGGCACCAAAGTGAATTTCTTAACAGGTGCATGCTCTGTCAACATTTGGCATGAATAATTTTACAAATACTTCAAGTGTTGCATCTGGAATCACTTCCTCATACACATCAAACCAACATACATCTTTTACATCATCAAAACATTTTGTATGATCTCTTATAAATTACTTTAGGCCCAAACTTTGTCACTTTGGCTTTCCTTGTTATTGCCACAATGTTATGGTCACTACAGCAAATGGGAATTGATATTGCTTTGGAGCAAAGCTCTGCAGCATTAGTGAAGATATGATCAATACAAGTGGATGTCACAGATACAATACTATTGGTATGCACTCTAGTTTGGTGAATGATAACCTGGATCATATTACAGGCGTTAGTCACAGTTAGAAGCTTCCTCTTGAGAGGACAGAGTGTACCTAACCAGTCAATATTCAGGTCACCCAGAAAATAGACCTCTCTGTTAACATCAAACACACTATCAAGCAGTGCCTTCAGAATGTATTCACACCCCTTGACTTTTTTCACGTTGTGTTACAAAGTGGGATTAAAATGGATTTAATTGTTTTCTTTTTTGTCAACGATCTACACAATGCTCTGTCAAAGTGGAAGAAACATTCTAACATTTGTAAGAAATTAATTGGCCTCATGGTGAAATCCCTGAGCGGTTTTCTTACTCTCCGGCAACTGAGTTAGGAAGGATGCCTGTATCTTTGTAGTGACTGGGTGTATTGATACACTATCCAAGAGTGTAATTAATATCATCCATGCTCAAATGTCAGCGTTTTTATTTTTTTATGTATCTACCAATAGGTGCCCTTCTTTGTGAGGCATTGGAAAACCTCCCTGGTCTTTGTGGTTGAATCTGTGTTTGAAATTCACTGCTCGACTGAGGGACCTTACAGATAATTGTGTGTGGGGTATAGACATTTACATTTACATTTAAGTCATTTAGCAGACGCTCTTATCCAGAGCGACTTACAGGAGCAATTAGGGTTAAGTGCCTTGCTCAAGGGCACATTTACGTCATTTAGCAGACGCTCTAGTCCAGAGCGACTCACAAATTGATGCATTCACCCTATAGCCAGTGGGATAACCACTTTACAAATTTTTTTTGGGGGGGGGGGTAGAAGGATTACTTTATCCTATCCCAGGTATTCCTTAAAGAGGTGGGGTTTCAAATGTCTCCGGAAGGTGGTGAGCGACTCCGCTGTGTGTGTGTGTGTGTGTGTGTGTGTGTGTGTGGGGGGGGGGGGGGGGGGGATGAGATGAGGTAGTCATTCAAAAATCATGTTAAACACTGTTATTGCACACAGAGTGAGTCCATACAACGTATTATGTGACTTGTTAAGCACATTTTTACTCCTGAATTTATTTAGGCTCGTCATAACAAAGGGGTTGAATACTTATGGACTCAAGACATTTCAGCTTTTCATTTGTAATTAATTGTGGAAAATGTTGGAGAAAAAAAATTCCACTTTGACATTATGGGGTATTGTGTGTAGGCCAGTGACAAAAATTCAGGGTGTAACGCCATAAAATTTGGAAAAAGTCGCGGGCTGTGAATATTTTCTGAAGAGACTGTATTGTCCAAATACTGACTGTTAGCACTTCGTGGTCAATAGCAGCACCTCAAAAGAAGAGGCTTTAGATGAGGCAGGTGAACTTGCAACCACAACACTTCAACAACATTTTACATAAGATCCTCACTAAGCTTTACAGGAATATGGTTCTGAACATATACCACAACACCTCCCCCATAGGCATTCCTGTCTTTTCTGTAGATCATTGTATTGCTACTGCTGTATAATCAAAGGTATTGCAGAGTGGAGTGAGCATTCTGATGATCACCACTTGTCATGAAATAACCAATGATAAGCTTCATATTAAATGTAGCTTCATATTCAGATGTATCACATGACTTGTCATTCTAAAAGGTCCATGCTCTTTAACCCTTAGCCTACAATTTCCACGGACCAACGGAAATCTAATGAACATAATAAAATCCCTATCAAAATCTGTCTGTTTAAAATAGGATCTGATTTGCATGAGCTGCGTCTTAATCCACCGCATCCATCGATATCGCCCTTCCGCATTCGGTGAAAGGTGGCAGAGCTAGAGTACTGTTTGTCAGACCATGCGACATCCTGGAAATCGGTCTTCTCACAAAAACTTCTGTAGAGTCCGAACGGTTTGGGCTACACACTAATATGATTTCAAATATTTTACTGAGTTACATATAAGGAAATCAGTCAATTGAAATAAATTCATTAGATATGGATTTCACATGACTGGCTAGGTGGGAATAGGGCCACCCACTTGGGAGCCAGGCCCAGCCAATCAGAATGAGTTTTCTCCCACAAAATAGCTTTATTACAGACACTTCAGAACAAACTTCCTTTAGAATTTTTTTTTTTTTTTGGGGGGGACGACGACTATCTGTTGTTTCATGTAGTTAATCTGTTATTCAATGCGTTTCTATTGGCTAATAACAGTAATGCCATATTCAATGTTTCACCAAATAATTTTTGGATATATATTTTTGGATACTTTAAGGGGTATTCAAATTTAAAATCAAATAGCTAAATGGTGCTTGGTATGGCCATCTTAAAACAATTCCCTTATGTTAGTTTAGAACATAATCTGACACTGGGAGACTAGTCAGGATCGAGGGAAAAATGAACAGAGCAAAGTACAGAGAGATCCTTGATGAAAACCTGCTCCAGAGCGCTCAGGACCTCAGACTGGGGCGAAGGTTACCTTCCAACAGGACAACGACCCTAAGCACACAGCCAAGACAACGCAGGAGTGGCTTCGGGACAAGTCTCTGAATGTCCTTGATTGGCCCAGGCCCTCAAGGAGCCCGTACTCCCCTGGTTTAGACAGGGCTTAGTCTGTAGAGGGTTTTTTGGGATTCCCTGTCCAGGAAATATTACATTATCTTCTATGTAATGCGCATTTCGTTTGGCACGATCAATGTATCTGTTAGTCTCATACATGTGATGGTTGCATGAAATCTGAACTCTGAATTGACAGAATTGTGTGCTTTTTCAAAAAATCATTGCAACAAAGAGTTCCGAATCGTAAGTATGACGCCAATGACGAATGGTTCGTGAACGCGCACGCTTTGGCGTATGCATGCACGTTCGACCTTGTTTTTATTGACGTTTAATTTTCTGCGGCTGCGCGCGGCAGAATGTTGTTGCCGTTGGTGATTTGTAAAGAAAGAAGAATTTGAGAAAATATAAAAAGAGTACTGTAGGGGAGTTACACATTTTGGCTCCTCAACCGAAACAAATTTTTGTAGGTTAAAAGCTAACCTACGCGCGTAGTTATAGTTTGAGTTTCGGAGTGGAGGGGAAGCTAGCGTTAGCTAGCTAGTCAACCTCACCCTTATGTGATCGTCCGTCGCCGGCCACTGCTACACTCAGAGCAAGACAACAAAATAGCTAATCGCCATTATATGACCAAGTATTTAGCGTCATTATTGGCCTTCATGTGGGTGAGGGATTTGTGTGTGTCAGATTATGGCGAGAAAAACAGTTAGCAGGAAAAGGAAGGCAGGGGAGTCCAAGGACCAACAACAACAGGTAGGAGGAACTAGACTGGTGTTTCAGTCAATTGCCGTTAGCCTTTCGAGCAAATCTTGGTTAGCTTAGTTGGCTAGCTAACGTTACCACTTTGCGTTGACTGGTTGAGCTAGCTACTAACAGATTCGTAGCGAATTTAGCTTGATAGCTAACGCCACGCAGCTAAAAAGCACGTTTAATTTTTTTTTTAACTTTACAGTAACTAGATGGCTATAACTAACATTAACGTTAGTTTCCTAGCTTGCTAAAGAACTCAATCCGTGTTACTAGCTAGTTTGTTAGCCAAGAATGGCTAACGCGTTAGCTAGTTCACTGGCTAGTGTAGTTAGCTAATGTTAGTTCATGTTTCTATTTTAAATGTTTTATTTCGTTTGACTGTTCCTCATTTTTTTATTAAATGGACCGTTTCACTAACTAGTTAGTTAAGTTAGACTTTTGAGAGTGCGTGTTTCTGGTTAGGCCTAGGCTTACAACCACTAATGTTTTTTCCTAAGTAAGCACCGGATGTACAATTGGATTTTAGGGGATGTGTGGAAAAATATATAGAATAATCATTCTGAGAATGGCATACAATTTCAGTAGAGGTGTAAAATGATAGCAATTTAGCTAGGTTATATCCTATTCGACTGGACAAGGGTGGGTAAGCCATGTGTTGTACACTGACTGCAATTGAATTCAACTAAATTTCAGTGCTTATTGGTTAGGCTAAATGTATGAAAAATGAGAATTATTTCAGTATTGCCCCCAAATCCAGTGCCACATCCGGCATAATGTTCCAATGTTGATGTACCACGGCCACATACAAAGCCCATACTGCAGAAATGTCCAAGTAATCAAATCCAATTTTATTTGCCACATGCACAGAATACAACAGGTGTAGACCTTACAGTGAAATGCTTACTTACAAGCCCTTAACCAACAATGCAGTTTTTAAGAAAAGAAAAAAAAAGTGTTAAGTAAAAAAAGAGATAAGTAAAAAATAGCAAATAATGACATTTTAGTCATTTAGCAGACGCTCTTATCCAGAGCGACTTACAGTTAGTGAGTGCATACATTTTGATTTTTTTTTTCTCCATACTGGTCCCCCGTGGGAAATGAACCCACAACCCTGGCGTTGCAAATGCCATGCTCTACTAACTGAGCTACACAGGACTTTAAAGAGCAGCAGTAAAATACAATAACAGTAGGGAGGCTATATACAGGGGGTACCGGTACAGAGTCAATGTGCGGGGGCACCGGTTAGTCGAGGTAATTGAGGTTATATGTACATGTGGGTAGAGTTAAAGTGACTGCATAAATAATTAATTAGCAGCGTAGTGGGGTGGGGGGGCAATGCAAATAGTCTGGGTAGCCATGATTAGCTGAGGGATGAGGCAAATATAAAGAAGAAACTATACTATGAAACAAAGATGAATGATAGTAAAAGCTTTGGAGCACCTTAAATGACATTTTGGGCAAAAGGGCAAACTCAGCTCCATCATTCATTGAATCAGATGGCTCATTCATCACAAAACCCGCTGATATTGGCAATTACTTTAATGATTTTATTTCATTGGCAAGATGAGCAAATTTAGGCATGACTTCATTGTGGCTTTTGACATTATTGATCATAGTCTGCTGATGGAAAAATGTATGTGTTATGGCTTTACACCCCCTACTATATTGTGGATCAATAGTTACCTGTCTAACAGTACACAGAGGGTGTTCTTTAATGGAAGCCTCTCCAACATAATCCAGGTAGAATCAGGAATTCCTCAGGGCAGCTGTCTAGGCCCCTTACTTTTTGAGTAATCTCCCGAGTGGCGCAGTGGTCTAAGGCACTGTATTGCAGTGCTAGCTGTGCCACTAGAGATCCTGGTTCGGATCCAGGCTCTGTCGTAGCCGGCCGCGACCGGGAGACCCATGGGGCGGAGCACAATTGGCCCAGCGTCGTCCAGGATAGGGGAGGGAATGGCCGGCAGGGATGTAGCTCAGTTGGTTGAGCATGGCGTTTGCAACGCCAGGGTTGTGGGTTCAATACCCACGGGGGGGCCAGTAAAAAAAAATATATATATATATATAAAAAAGAATAATGTATGCACTCACTAACTGTAAGTCGCTCTGCTAAATGACTAAAATGTAAATGTAAAATGAGTAAAGCCAGTATGTCTATGTGTGCGGATGACGCAACACTATACACGTCAGCTACTACATCGAGGGAAATCACTGCAACACTTAACAAAGAGCTTATTAATGTTAGCTCTCCATGTACATTTAAGGGCCAGCCGTGCTGAGCCAATTGTAATTTTCCGAGGTCCCTCTGTGGCACCTGACCACACGACAACAGTAGTCCAGGTGTGACAAAACTAGGGCAGCCTAGACAGCTGCCCTGGGGAATTCCTGATTCTAGCTGGATTATGTTGGAGAGGCTTCCATTAAAGAACACCCTCTGTATACTGTTAGACAGGTAACTATTTATCCTTAATATAGTAGGGGGTGTAAAGCCATAACACATGTAAACCTCAGTACTACATAGAGCCATGGCAACATCAGGTAACTGATGCAAGCATTAGAATCAGATTTTAAAAAAAACAAACAGATAAAAATACACCTTATGGAACAGCGGGGACTGTGAAGCGACACACACACACAGGCACAGGCACATACACACAAAGTCAAACTGTCAAAGACACTTCCTCTAGCCTAAAATACAATTTTGTGTACTGAATTGCAGGAGCATGGGAAATTTCATGAACATTTTGTTCCATATTCACTTGGAATGACCCCATTCTAAATAGTCAGTGTTCTTGATGTACTTGGTGCTGTTCATCTCATTTAAGCCTTGTACAAACCTTTCTCCTTCTCTTTTTCTCTCTCCTCCGTCAGGTGGCCTGGTGCCAGTCGGCGAGCAAGCGAACGCGTGTGTCCTCATCCCGGCACGCTCAGCAGTGGTGGCGTAGTCAGTGCTCAGTGGTGTGTGCAATCCGGGGCCGCGAGTTTCGGCCGCAGCAGCAGCATGAGTGGCGGCTCCAGCGTAGCCTGCGGGGCTTTGCCGCCGGCCGCCTCCCGGGCATCCTTAAGGAGCGGGAGTTCTCCCTTGGCCGCCTCAACAAGGTGTTCGCCTCCCAGTGGCTCAACCACCGCCAGGTGGTGTGTGGAACCAAGTGCAATACGGTGAGACATTGCCCTCTTGTTTTACCCTACTCTGCTTTCTTCTTTCAAAATGGAAAAAGGTGTAAAAACATTTACTGTTAACTGGAAAACCTCGAACTGACCTATTATGAATAATAAAGCTACCCCCACATGATTCCAGACCATTTAACTTTTTATCTAACCAGATTTCTTTGTTCCTCTCCCCAGCTATTTGTGGCAGATGTTCTGACAGGGCAGATCACTCGCATCCCCATGCTGAAGGACCGACAGGGCGGAAGAGGGGGGGTCGGGGGGACAATAGGAGCCCCCTTCCTCTCCGGTAGTGGCTCAGTGTCTGGGCTGGACCAGCAAGGCTGTGGGATCCACGCCATCGAGCTTAACCCCTCCGGCACTCTGTTGGCCACCGGCGGAGACAACCCTAACAGCCTGGCCGTCTACCGGCTGCCCACCCTGGACCCCGTCTGCGTGGGGGACGTGAGTTGTTCCTCTCTCTTCTGGGTGTTTTGTTACTGAGCTACACAGTGGCACAGCAGTGGTGGCTGAGACAGCCTAAGCAAGGCTGATCATACAATGAAAATAGTTGTTTTTTAAAATCCTAATCATGGGAGGGTTCTCTGTTTTTCAGGATGGCCATAACGATTGGATCTTCTCAATTGCGTGGATCAGCGACAGCATGGCTGTGTCTGGTGAGTGTTAAGTGACACAAACTGCTAAGCCATATGGAGAACTTCACACTATTGTTCATCCGCAATAGTTTTTTATGTATGTAATATTGTCTCCGTATAAAATCAACAAACCAATCAATGTGCTGCTACTCTACAGGGTCCCGGGACGGTTCAATGGGCCTGTGGGAGGTGTCTGAGGAGGTTCTGAGCCACTCCATGAGACAGCAGGACGAAGAGGGGGTCCCCTGCTACTCCCACATCTCCCACCGTGCCCTGGAGGACATCCCCAAGGAATACACCAACCCCTACAACTGCAAAGTGCGCGCCCTGGCCTTCAACAACAACCACAAGGTCAGCCACACCTCCCTCCTAGCCCTCTGAGACAAACCACAGCCAGTGTTCTCTAGTAGAAATCTGTGTTGTACTTCAGCCCTGTACCTACACACTATCTTTTATTGCCTTCTCTCAGGAGCTTGGTGCAGTGTCCCTGGATGGCTATTTCCACCTTTGGAAGGCAGAGCAAAACTTGAGCAAGGTCTGTTTGAGTATATCTGTTTCCGCTCTGCATAGCAATGCTTGTTTGGTTCTGTGACTGTACTTGCTTGGGGACATGTGGTCCTCTGTAGCTCAGCTGGTAGAGCACGGCGCTTGTAACGCCAAGGTAGTGGGTTCGATCCCCGGGACCACCCATACACAAAAATGTATGCACGCATGACTGTAAGTCGCTTTGGATAAAAGCGTCTGCTAAATGGCATATTATTATTTATTATTATTATTATTATTATTATATTATTATTGGAGAGTATGAACACTTGGCTGGTGTCGTCATAAGTCAATATTAAACAGTACTGCATGTTTGTTGAATGTCCTCACATACCAAACATTTCTGGTCAAGACGATTGGGTGCGTTAGGGTTGGGCGATGTTACGATGGTATCGGATATCGAAGATGATTGACAGCCATATCGACGACATCGTAATGTGACAGATGATGTATAGCCTATTACAATTTGTCTGGTACCACGCAGTAGAGAGCTGACCGGGCAGCCCACAGCAGGGCCCTGCCAAGTGGCCTATTCCTTTGCTATAGCATGCATAACCTACAGTGCATTTGGAAAGTATTCAGACCCCTTCCTTTTTTCCACATTTTGTTACGTTACAGCCTTAATCTAAAATGGATTTTAAAAAAATATCCTCATCAATCTACACATAATACCCCACCCATAATGACAAAGCGAAAACATGTTTTCAGACATTTTTGCTAAATAAAAAAACAGATACTTTATTTACATATGTTATGAGACTCAAAATGGAGCTCAGGTGCATCCTGTTTCCATTGATCATCCTTGAGATGTTTCTCCAACTAGATTGGAGTCCACCTGTGTTAAATTCAATTGATTGGACATGATTTGGAAAGGCACACACTTGTCTATATAAGGTCCCACAGTTGACAGTGCATGTCAGAGCAAAAACCAAGCCATGAGGTCGAAGGAATTGTCCATAGAGCTACGAGACAGGATTGTGTCGAGACACAGATCTGGGGAAGGGTACCAAAAAATATCTGCAGCATTGAAGGTCCCCAAGAACACAGTAGCCTCCATAATTTTTAAATGGAAGAAGTTTGGAACCACCAAGACTCTTCCTAGAGCTGGCCGCCCGGCCAAACTGAGGATTCGGAGGAGAAGGGAGGTGACCAAGAACCCGATGGTCACTCCGACAGATCTCCAGAGTTCCTCTGTGGAGATGGGAGAACCTTCCAGAAGGACAACCATCTCTGCAGCACTCCACCAATCAGACCTTTATGGTAGAGTGGCCAGACGGAAGCCACTCCTCAGTAAAAGGCACATGACAGCCCACTTGGAGTTTGCCAAAAGGCATCTAAAGGCCTCAGACCATGAGAAACAAGATTCTGTGGTCTGATGAAACCAAGATTGAACTCTTTGGCCTGAATGTCAAGCGTCATGTCTGGAGGCAACCTGGCACCATCCTTACGGTGAAGCATGGTGGTGGCAGCATCATGCTGTGGGGATGTTTTTCAGCGGCAGGGACTGGGAGACGACTCCAGATCAAGGGAAAGATGAACGGAGCAAAGTACAGAGAGATCCTTGATGAAAACCTGCTCCAGAGCGCTCAGGACCTCAGACTTGGGTGAAGGTTCACCTTCCAACAGGACAATGACCCTAAGCACACAGCCAAGACAACGCAGGAGTGGCTTCGGAACCAGTCTCTGAATGTCCTTGAGTGGCCCAGCCAGAGCCCGGACTTGAACCCAATCAAACATCTCTGGAGAGACGCTCCCCATCCAACCTGACAGAGCTTGAGAGGATCTGCAGAGAAGAATGGGAGACACTCCCCAAATACAGGTGTGCCAAGCTTGTATCGTCATACCCAAGAAGACTCTAGGCCAGGGGTGTCAAACGTCCGGCCCGCGGGCCGGATCAGGCCCGCAAACGGGTTTAATCCGGCCCGCGAGATGATTAAAAACATTTTAAATAAAAGGAACAAAAAATAATAAAATAATAAAAAAAATTGTAAAGTATAAAAATGCGCTGCAATTTTTCAATAAAATAAACTGCTGTTCCAATTGCGTCCACTGGATGGCGCAAAAGCAATTGTGTTAAGCAAGCAAACTGTTTATACCGGGGCAGAGCAAGTAGGTCAAGCACGGGCAGCCAATGAGCTACTTTGTTTTGCCCGCGATATTTATTACGGCTTCTACTTTTAACATTATGTGCTTTGGCACCCTCATTGCCCCAATATGTCTCTGTCAAAAAAGAGAAAAGTGGACGCAGAGTGTTCCAAGAAAAATGGTCATCCTATTTCTTCACGGAATTGAATGGGAAAGCTGTATGTTTGGTGTGTTCAGAGCATGTTGCAGTGCTGAAAGAATATAACCTTCGTCGCAACTATGTGAGTCTTCATGCCGACAAATATGACAACTTTCAAGGACAGCGGAGATGAGAGAAGGTGAATGAGCTGTTGGCAGGTCTGAAGAAACAGCAGTCTGTGTTTACTCACAGCCGAGACATCAGTGACGCTGCAGTGAAAGCTAGCTACCTCATTGCTAATGAAATCGCAGTGGCTTCAAAACCATTTAGTGAGGGTGAATTTGTAAAAACATGCATGATGAAGGCAGCGGAGATTGTGTGCCCTGAAAAGCGGCAGGCTTTTGCAAATATCAGCCTGACAAGAAACACAGTTGCAGACAGGATTTCCGATCTTTCAGTGGATTTGGACAGCCAGTTGAAGCAAAAAGTAGTCATTTATTGCGTTTTCGGTTGCAATTGATGAAAGCACGGACATTACAGATGTTGCACAACTGGCCATTTTCATCCGCGGAGTTGATGACACATTGACCGTCACTGAGGAGTTCGTGGAGTTGGTGCCGATGACAGATACAACGACAGCAGCTGATATTTTTACCGCACTCGTCGGCGCGCTGGACAGGGTCGGAGTGGACTGGTCCCGCGCTGTCAGCCTGGCTACAGATGGTGCGCCCTCAATGATCGGGAAAAAAGCAGGCGTTGTGACAAAGTTCAGAGAGAAAGTGCAATCTGCAAATGGAGGACGTGATTTTTTGACTTTTCACTGTATTTTGCACCAGGAGGCTTTGTGTTGCAAGTCATTAAAGATGGATAACGTCATGAAGGTGGTCATCCAAACTGTTAATTTCATCCGATCCAGAAGCCTGAATCACCGTCAGTCTGACAGCCTTCTCAGAGACCACATCTATGGCCTGCCATACCACACTGAGGTAAGATGGTTAAGCCGAGGTGCTGTGCTGAGGCGTTTCTTTGATTTACGAGAAGAAATTGAACAGTTCATGGAAGAAAAGGGCAAACCAGTGTTAGAATTTCATTCCGCAGAATGGATGCAGGACCTTGCATTTATGGTGGATGTTACAGAGCACCTGAATAACTTGAACAAACAGCTGCAAGGGCGCAACAAAGTTGTCACGCAGTATTATGACAGCATACGTTCTTTCAAGTTGAAGCTGTCATTGTGGGAGACGCAACTTGCCGGTGGTGATGCAGCTCACTTCCCCTGTCTGAAAAATGTGTGCGCGACCCAACATGTGGCAGACATGAAGCGGTTCAAAGATAAAATAACGGGACTGTTACGGGAGTTTGAGCAACGCTTTCAGATTTATGTTTATATGTTTTTATGTTGATGTGCTATTGTTTTTAATTGTTTTTATTTTATTTGTATATTTAACCTATTCTTGACTCTGTGGTTCTTGCACTTGTTTGGGGAACAGGATGTCATTCTTTTTATCTACATTTCTGCCTGAGAAATGACACCCTGATATAGTTCTGTGATATGTGAAACAGTTCTGTTAATCACTGAGGCATTGTGTGTTTGTGTGTTCTTTTTCTTTAGAATTTTCAAATAAACTTGACGTGTTTTATGATTAATAGTGATCTTGTGCTTGTACTATTTTGGACACACTGTCCTCAGGCTCCAGCTTTAGGTTGTATGTTGATCGTATTAAAACAAAGAAAACAATCTGAAGTTGTTGTTTTTAAGTTATATATACCATGATTTTTCCGGTCCGGCCCACTTGGGAATAGATTTTCCTCCATGTGGCCCCTGAGCTAAAATGAGTTTGACACCCCTGCTCTAGGCTGTAATCGCTGCCAAAGGTGCTTCAACAAAGTACTGAGTAAAAAGTCTGAATACTTATAGGTGGGGTATTGTGTGTAGATTGAGTATTTTTATTTATTTAATCAATGTTAGAATAAGGCTGTAACGTAACAATGTGGAAAAAGTCCAGGGGTCTGAATACTTCCAGAATGCACTATATTTCAAGAAATATTTTAAAACAATTTACAGAATGCAACAAAATAATGTAGACAGCTAAGATTTTCACCAAAGCAGCGCAAAATGTCCAGTCAGATTTTAAATTCCCCCCCCCAGTGATCTGAATCCTGTTTTTATAGCGGACACTCCGGTGTCTTAATAATTTTAAAAGCCTCATTTTGTATTTTCTCTCCATTTGATATAAATATGACTTAAGTTTTTATGCATGCTGTCTTTCTCCCGCTGCTCTAATTCATTATTAAACAATTAATTTATCTAACAGAGTTCTATCTCAGAAAGTTTGAAGTTGTTTTTAAGTAACCTAAAAACATGATAGGCCTATGGTAATAATGAGAGGTAGAACAAACAATAGCAAGAAAGAAAAATTGAATGAGTAGTTTGAACAAACCTTACAGTTGAGCAAAGCTTAGTCTAATATATAATAAATTATGCATGCATCCCTCCTCCTTCCCGTTGCGAACCAAACGGCCAAAAGCCAAATCCTACTGATAGCCTATCAAAACCATTAAGACAAGTTAAAGTTATTTGAGTATTTCCCAAATAGGCTAATAAATAGTGTTTAATGTCCTAGTGTTGCAGCTTTCAAATGGGAACAATTGTAAAAGTCAGTCAATAGGCAATGTTCTATCACAGCTCTATTTTGAATTAAAAATATGAGGCAACAATAAGTGAAATTTAGCAAACATTATCAAGATTGAGTTGCACCCGCTCTTTTTCCCTTCAAAACAGCCTCAATTCGTTGGGGCATGGACTCTACAAGGCGTCAAACGTTCCACAGGGATGCTGGCCCATGTTGACTCCAATGCTTCCCACAGTTGTCAAGTTGGCTGGATATCCTTTGGGTGGTGGACGATTCTTGATACACACGGGAAACTGTTGAGGGTGAAACCCAGCAGCGTTGCAGTTCTTGACACACACTGTTGTGTCTGGCACCTATTGTCATACTCATTCTCAAAGGCACTTACATTTTTTGTCTTGCCCATTCACTCTCTGAATGGCGCACATACACAATTCACGTCTCAATTGTCTCGAGGCTTAAAAATCCTTCTTTAACCTGTCTCCTCCCCTTCATCTACACTGATTTGAAGTGGATTTAACAAATCAATAAGAGATCATAGCTTTCACCTGGATTCACCTGGTCATTCTATGTCATGGAAAGAGCAGGTGTTCTTAATGTTTTGTATAAGCCTAGGCAAAAATGTAAATCATTGAATATAATTATACAGTTCTGGGGACAGCAGAAGTGCTACAACCCAACACACGACGAGGCTCCTTGACTGTCACTTGCGCGTCGGCACATACCTCTTTCGTGCCACAGCAGAGAGGAATAGGCTGCTAAAAAGATTTGGCCCCAAAAATATATTTTCATGATTTCTCATGTCCCTCCCGTAGCATGTGAGCTTGTGCTAGCGGTCCTTTTTAGCAGTCTTTTTTTCCATTTAGTTTCTATTAAAACATTTTGGGGGTTGGCTAATAGGGGTCGATACCATCGTATATCACAATGTTTGATGGGTACTTAATCAAGATAGGACATTTACATTTACATTTTAGTCATTTAGCAGACGCTCTTATCCAGAGCGACTACAAATTGGTGCATTCACCCTATAGCCAGTGGGATAACCACTTTACAATTATATTTTTTTTTTTTGGGGGGGTGGGGGGTAGAAGGATTACTTTATCCTATCCCAGGTGTTCCTTAAAGAGGTGGGGTTTCAAATGTCTCCGGAAGGTGGTGAGTGACTCCGCTGTCCTGGCGTCGTGAGGGAGCTTGTTCCACCATTGGGGTGCCAGAGCAGCGAACAGCTTTGACTGGGCTGAGCGGGAACTATGCTTCCGCAGAGGAAGGGGAGCCAGCAGGCCAGAGGTGGATGAACGCAATGCCCTCGCCTGGGTGTAGGGACTGATCAGAGCCTGAAGGTACGGAGGTGCCGTTCCCCTCACTGCTCCATAGGCAAGCACCATGGTCTTGTAACGGATGCGAGCTTCAACTGGAAGCCAGTGGAGTGTGCGGAGGAGGGGGGTGACGTGAGAGAACTTGGGAAGGTTGAACACCAGACGGGCTGCGGCATTCTGGATGAGTTGTAGGGGTTTAATGGCACAGGCAGGGAGCCCAGCCAACAGCGAGTTGCAGTAATCCAGACGGGAGATGACAAGTGCCTGGATTAGGACCTGTGCCGCTTCCTGTGTAAGGCAGGGTCGTACTCTCCGAATGTTGTAGAGCATGAACCTGCAGGATCGGGTCACCGCCTTGATGTTAGCGGAGAACGACAGGGTGTTGTCCAGGGTCACGCCAAGGCTCTTCGCACTCTGGGAGGAGGACACAACGGAGTTGTCAACCGTGATGGCGAGATCATGGAACGGGCAGTCCTTCCCCGGGAGGAAGAGCAGCTCTGTTGGTTTGTTGAGAGGCCATGTGAGGATATGACAGAGCCAAGTGACTTGGTGTATAGGGAGAAAAGGAGAGGGCCTAGAACTGAGCCCTGGGGGACACCAGTGGTGAGAGCATGTGTTGCGGAGACAGCTTCTCGCCACGCCACTTGGTAGGAGCGACCGGTCAGGTAGGACGCAATCCAGGAGTGAGCCGCGCCGGAGATGCCCAGCTCGGAGAGGGTGGAGAGGAGGATCTGATGGTTCACTGTATCAAAGGCAGCAGACAGGTCTAGAAGGACAAGAGCAGAGGAGAGAGAGTTAGCTTTAGCAGTGCGGAGAGCCTCCGTGACACAGAGAAGAGCAGTCTCAGTTGAATGACCAGTCCTGAAACCTGACTGGTTTGGATCAAGAAGGTCATCCTGAGAGAGATAGCAAGAGAGTTGGCTAAAGACGGCACACTCAATAGTTTTGGAAAGAAAAGAAAGAAGGGATACTGGTCTGTAGTTGTTGACATCAGTGGGATCGAGTGTTGGTTTTTTGAGAAGGGGTGCAACTCTCGCTCTCTTGAAGACGGAAGGGACATGGCCAGCGGTCAAGGATGAGTTGATCAGCGAGGTGAGGTAGGGGAGGTCACCGGAGATGGTCTGGAGAAGAGAGGAGGGGATGGGGTCAAGCGGGCAGGTTGTTGGGCGGCCTGCAGTCACTAGTCGCAAGATTTTATCTGGAGAGAGAGGGGAGAAAGAAGTCAAAGCATAGGGTAGGGCAGTGTGAGCAGGACCAGCAGTGTCATTAGACTTAACAAACGAGGATCGGATGTCGTCAACCTTCTTTTCAAAGTGGTTGACAAAGTCATCCACAGAGAGGGAGGAGGGGGGATTCAGCAGTGAGGAGAATGTGGCAAAGAGCTTCCTAGGGTTAGAGGCAGATGCTTGGAATTTAGAGTGGTAGAAAGTGGCCTTAGCAGCAGAAACAGATGAAGAAAATGTAGAGAGGAGGGAGTGAAAAGATGCCAGGTCGGCAGGGAGTTTAGTTTTCTTCCATTTCCGCTCAGCTGCCCGGAGCTCTGTTCTGTGAGCTCGCAATGAGTCATCAAGCCACAGAGCTGGAGGGGAGGACCGAGCCGGCCGGGAGGATAGGGGACACAGGGAGTCAAAGGATGCAGAAAGGGAGGAGAGGAGGGTTGAGGAGGCAGAATCAGGAGATTGGAGGGAGAAGGATTGAGCAGAGGGAAGAGATGATAGGATGGAAGAGGAGAGAGTAGTGGGAGAGAGAGAGCGAAGGTTGCGGCGGCGCGTTACCATCTGTGTAGGGGCAGAGTGAGTAGTGTTGGAGGAGAGCGAGAGAGAAAAGGATACAAAGTAGTGGTCGGAGACATGGAGGGGAGTTGCAGTGAGATTAGTAGAAGAGCAACATCTAGTAAAGATGAAGTCAAGCGTATTGCCTGCCTTGTGAGTGGGGGGGGATGGTGAGAGGGTGAGGTCAAAAGAGGAGAGGAGTGGAAAGAAGGAGGCAGAGAGAAATGAGTCAAATGTAGACGTGGGGAGGTTGAAATCCCCCAAAACTGTGAAGGGTGAGCCATCCTCAGGAAAGGAACTTATCAAGGCGTCAAGCTCATTGATGAACTCTCCAAGGGAACCTGGAGGGCGATAGATGACAAGGATATTAAGCTTAAATGGGCTAGTGACTGTGACAGCGTGGAATTCAAATGAGGAGATAGACAGATGGGTTTTGGGAAAAATTGAGAATGACCACTTGGGAGAGATGAGGATTCCTGTGCCACCACCCCTCTGACCAGATGCTCTCGGGGTATGCGAGAACACATGGTCAGACGAGGAGAGAGCAGTAGGAGTAGCAGTGTTTTCAGTGGTAATCCATGTTTCCGTCAGCGCCAGGAAGTCGAGGGACTGGAGGGTAGCATAGGCTGGGATGAAGTCAGCCTTGTTGGCGGCAGAACGGCAGTTCCAGAGGCTGCCTGAGACCTGGAACTCCAGGTGTGTGGTGCGTGCAGGGACCACCAGGTTAGAGAGGCAGCAGCCACGCGGTGTGAGGCGTTTGTGTAGCCTGTGCGGAGAGGAGAGAACAGGGATAGGCAGAGGCATAGTTGACAGGCTGCAGCAGATGGCTACAATAATGCAGAGGAGATCGGAATGAAATGAACTAAACATCAGGGAAAGGAGAGAGCAGGCCTCCCTCACCAAAAAAAATAAAATATATAACTCTCCCAACTGACAAAGGTTGACAAAGGTTGACATCTCCCAACCCTAGTGTGCGTACGCATGTTTGTCAGGAGACTTGTCTAGCTAAATGTCTAGCCCCGTCCAACAAGCCTGTGTATCTGTTGTTCATAGCTGCTGTCCACGAAGTTGCCTCACTGCAAGGAGAACGTGTGTCTGGCATACGGTCAGGACTGGTCGGTGTATGCGGTGGGCTCTCAGGCCCATGTGTCCTTCCTAGACCCCCGACAGCCCACTCACAACATCAAATCAGTCAGCTCCCGGGAGAGGGGAAGTGGTAAGGAATTGACACAACACTACAGTGTTTGACACATATACACACACACACACACAGGGCGTATTGGTGAATATATATATATATATATATATATATATATTTCAGAACACTATAGCATACATGCTTTCTGTAAACTTTCTGTAACTTTCATTTCATTCCATTTTTCCAGAGGCAACACGAGGTACTGCAAACACATTCCACCAAGAAGCAAAACAAAACCCAAACATTCGCCAAGACCCGCCCTGCACTTATGCTGCCTTCAAGTGGTATCGGAAATAGGAGTTACCGACTCTGAAATTTCACTTGAATGACCCTCCAAGTCAGGATTACGAGTTGGAAAGGCGGGAGTAAATTATGAAACCCGAGTTTACGAGTTGTGCCGTTTCATCACTGGCCTTTTCAACCAAAAGATGATAAAACAAAACCATTTACATTATTTGTACATTATTTTAATGTGAATAATGTAGCTAGTTTGGCCATATTGTCAACGTTAGCCAGCTAGCTAAAATATTATTAGGAACGTTGGCTAGCTAGATACATTATTATTATTATTAGCAACGTTAGCCAGATAGCTAAATTATTATTATTAGCAATGTTAGCAAGCTAGCTAAATTATTATTATTATTATTAGCAACGTTAGTTAGCTAGCTAAATTATTATTATTAGCGTCGTTAGCCAGCTAGCTAAATTATTGTTATTAGCAAGGTTAGCTAACTAGCTAAAATACCATTGGTTGAGAAGAGTTGTTCCGAATTCAAAAGCACTTGGACACACTGATGTCGTATTTACGACTTCACCAACTGGGAAATGCGAGTTTCCGAGGAGCATTTGAACGCAGCATTACGATGAAGTGCAGAGGCAGTACGTTTGAAAGGAAAATTTGTTACAGCTTTTTTAAAGACGTTTATAAAGCTATTAAAAGGCAAGGTATTAACTTGTTTGTGTGTGTTCGTTCCCAGGCATCCGCTCGGTGAGTTTCTATGAGCACATAGTGACTGTGGGCACAGGCCAGGGCTCTCTACTGTTCTATGACATCAGAGCCCAGAGGTTCCTGGAGGACCCTTCCAGCCTGGCCGGCGGGTTCCGGCAGCGCCCAGGAGAGGGCATCCTCAAACTCACCACAGGGAAGGGCTGGCTGGTACGATTATTTTATTTATTGTTCCCCTTTTGTATACCCCTTTCAGGAACTTTTAACTTGAAGTGTCCTGCTATTACTATATATGCTACATGACCAAAAGCATGTCGACACCTGCTCGTTGGAGATCTCATTCCAAAATCATGGCCATTAATATGAAGTTGTTCCCCCCTTTGCTGCTATAACAGCCTTAACTCTTCTGGGAACATACTGGACATATATACTGGACCTCTGAGACCCTGAAGCGACATTTGTCTGGATTTAGTTTGAGATTAAGAGCTTTTATCCTGTCCATGACCTGGCGGAGGCGCTCGTCGTGTTCCTGACCAGGATGTCGTCCACAATGATTTTGACATGGTTGTTCTGCGAAAAGCTGCTCCATGCACCTCTGAAACACTTCACTTCCTGTAGAGATTCCACAGGGCATGTGTAGGAAGTGATATCTGCCCACTGGGGTCATGAAGGTGGTGAGCTTTGATGACGCTTCACCAAGTGGGCTCTGCCAGAACCCACACTTGGTATCCAACATGAAGAATACCTTTGCATCAGGCATGTCGGAGATCACCTGCTCCACTGTTCTCATGGGATGATGTGGCCTGAGGAGCGCTTTGTTGAGATGGACTGGATCAATGCATATTCTCACTCTTCTAGCCTTTTTCTTTACAGACACCATGGCTGAGACCCATTCCATGGCCTCCTCTTCTCTCGTGATGACATCCCGTCCTTCCATTCGGTCCATCTCCGTGACCACTTTTTCCTTCATTGCGAGTGGCATGCTTCTGGGAGCGCACACTGTGGGGTGCACAGAGACATCCTGCCGCATGTTGTAAACGACTGGTAGCTTACCCACTGTGCTGGAGTCAAACAGGTCTCTGTATTCAGTCTGCTCAGGGGCTTCATGCTGGACTGCATGCACTTCAGGTCGGAGACTAACTAAGCCCAGTCGGATACTGTCAGAGAGGGCAATGAGTGGTTTGACTTCACAATACACCACATGGAATTGTAGCTTTCCACATGTAAAGTCCAGAGTGGCATTGAAAGTCTTACTCACCTGTCCTCCATAAGCCACTAGATTCACTGTGTTTGAGTGGTCAACAGGAGTGCTTGGGTCAACGTGTTGTAGCCCCAGTGTAAGTTTTTACTTTAATGTTCTCACCACTGTTGATGGCTGAGAGATCTGTGAATATCTCTCCCATCTCTAAGGTTATATCCACATTTTCACAGTTCAGTAGATCTACTGGTTCAGGTGTCTCCTGTGTCCCCAGTTCATTAACCCTGTGTGAATACCTGCCTCTGCATGGATTGGGAGGAGCAGCCTCCGCTCTTCTGGGAAGGCTTTCCACTAGATGTTGGAACATTGCTGCGGGGACTTGCTTCCATTCAGCCACGAGTATTAGTGAGGTCGGACACTGATGTTGGGCGATTAGGCCTGGCTCGCAGTCAGTGTTCCAATTCATCCCAAAGGTGTTCGATGGGGTTGAGGTCAGGGCTCTGTGCAGACCAGTCAAGTTCTTCCACACCGATCTCGACAAACCATTTATGTATGGGCCTTGCTTTGTGCACGGGGGCATTGTCATGCTGAAACAGGAAAGGTCCTTCCCCAAACTGTTGCCACAAAGTTGGAAGCACAGAATCGTCTAGAATGTCATTGTATGCTCTAGCATTAAGATTTCCCTTCACTGGAACTAAGGTGCCTAGCCCGAACCATGAAAAACAGCCCCAGACCATTATTCCTCCTCCACCAAACGTTAGTTGGCACTATGCATTCGGTAGTGAATGTTGCAACCGAGGACAGACTATTTTTACGAGCTTCAGCACTCTGCTGTCCCGTTCTGTGAGCTTGTGTGGCCTACCACTCTGGCCTTTTGTAAGTCGAGTGTTCCCCATAGGATTTTCTTCAGCAGCGGTGTTAGTTCTCAAAAAGGATCTTATGAAAAAAATATGTTGCTCCATTATCATTTTTCTACATACTTTATAGCTGGTTTTAGTTGTTTAAATTTACAATGGAAAACTTTTTACCATCCTGAAAATATATTCCCCCCCACCCCCCCAGTGGAGGCCACGATTTAAATGCATATAGGTTAAACACTGATGTCACCCACTCCCTCTCACACCTGTTTCTCTCGCTCTCCCTCAGAATCACGATGAGACGTGGAGGAGCTACTTCTCGGACATCAACTCGTTCCCCAACGCCGTGTACACACACTGCTACGACGACTCCGGCACCAAGCTGTTTGTGGCCGGCGGACCGCTGTGCTCGGGCCTTCACGGCAACTACGCAGCCCTCTGGAGCTAGCCTTCACTTCTCCTCCTCCTCTGTCTTGCCATCTCTCCTTAACCCACTACCCAGCCCCCCTCTCTCCTCTTCCTTCTTTTAGCGTTTCACTCACTCAGTTGTCCCTCCAGTCTTGTCCCTCCCTCGTGGACTCAGGAGCATGATCTTGACCCCCCCCCCCCCCCCCCTTTTCTTATCACGGCTTCCATATTGCCACTGTGTATCTCATCAACACCTCGTTGCATCCCTCCATCCTCCCTTGCACTTTGCCCTGTTTTCTTTCAGTTCTTTAGTCTCTGCTCCCCCTTTTTTTATATAGATGATTAACCAGTGATGTAACGAGCTGGGAGGTCCGCCTCTGAGAAACTCAAATGAAAGTATAAGGTTTTATTACAATTTTCAACAGGTTTTGTATGGTGATTTATTTTGTCTGTTTTTTGGGAGTATGTCATACTGGCATAGACCGTTTCCTTGTGCGGACATTTGCGACACTCCTTACTGTTCCCCTTCTCTTTCTCTCTCCGAAACTGACGGCAATATAAAATATTGAGGATGGGGGGAATATGAAAGAGACAATTAAGTTCTGAAGGAAGGAACAGGAGTATAGTTTGACTTTTCTAAGAAACTGAGAAAGGACATGCTCGTTGGTTGGTAGCGGACCACCCTGTGCCATGGCAGCCAATAAGAGCCGTAGCGATGAAAAACAAGGTGAGAAGAAGCAGAGGATGAGTGCAACCAATCAGACAGCGGCAGCCACTTGTTCTTTTTTTTCTTCCTGACTGATGATGTAAAGGAGTGATGACTGTAGATGCTAAATTCCATAGGTATTCTGCAATGAATAATAATCCTGAAGAATGTTTATTTTATTTTGATTCTGACTGTGTGATTTGACATAAACGTACACCTGTTGATATTACTACTATCTTTATTATAATTTATTTTCCTCCTCTCACTATCACCCTTAGTTAAGGTTTACGGCAGGGGCGTTCAACGCCGGGCCCTTGCAGAACGCAGTGTCTGCTGGTTCTCTTTCTTCCCAGTTACTGGTCCATTCATGTCAGTGGTTGTGTATATCACAAAGCACGATCAATAAGTCAGCCAGCTAACTTGGTTAAACATTCATACATGGCTGTTGATGTTGTGGATTATCCCTTACTTAGACCATTTCAAATTCAACACCATCTTGCTTTTTGAACTAGGAAATATGAGGTTGTTTGAGAACATTTTAGAAACATTAGCTTGCTAACTATTTGATCCTGCTTAGTGACACAGCCCCGTGGTTTCCATGGTCTAAACCAGTTGCTGATTTAAAAACAAGGATGAAACCCTGCAGACAGTGCTGACCTTAAGTCCCTGAATCCCAAATCAGCCCCTTGCTCGTTCCTCCTAGGCACTTGTGTAGATTTGAGAGGATTTAATAGGTGTAAGCAATATGGTGACAGCTCCATCAATGCCCTCTGATAGGCCAGATGGTGGTGTTGCCATTTTGCCAAGACATTCCCAATACTAACAGATATGAGGTGTATTCACTAGAAGCCAACAGAATGAAGCAGGGAGGGACTTACCTGAATTAGTCAAATAGAAACTCTTGTTTTTGGAGTAAACAGTTTCCATTGCAAAACGGTTTGCTATGGTCTTGGTCTGAACGAATACATCCCTGGACAAGTGCGTAGAATGTAGGGGCAAGGGGTTGGAGTTGAATACCTCTGGAGGCACCATAGTTTTTGTCACTGTTGGTTCTAATACTCTTTTTTTCCCTCTCTCTTTTTCTATCAAGGGGTGAGTGTAGCTGCTCTTTTCCTTGTGTGCTAAGGCAGGGTAGATTTGAGTGACTTTGTTGCCTTTCTATAGTCTTTCTGTGAAAGACTGTTGTAGGCTGACATTGTTTTGCTTGTTGGAACTTTGAGTGTTTTCATGATAATGCGAGAACAAAATAAAGAGACCCCAATTATGACCATAAGTTGAACAAATAACCATCACTTTTAAAGTGTATTTTATATATAAATGTGTGTATGAAATGCATAGGGATAAATGCATACATTTTTATGTATATGTTCCAGGAAGTGTGTGGACTAACCCTTGTCTTTCCTTTGGTGACCTATTTTGTAACTTTACACACCTCATGAATGTTTTTAAAAATTACTGAACCTGGGGATATTGTATGATGTCAACAACAGCCGAAACCAACCTATAAATCTTTAAAATGAAAATAATGATGAAAATAAAGTATATGTAATATTTCTCTTATTTCATATTGCTGTTTGTGTGTGGTTTATTTAATTATATTTGGGCGGTGTGTACAGTGGCTCAATCACTCTGATTGCTCATTGAGTGATTCAGTAGGCCTACAGTATTTACGAAGTTCAATTCATTGTACAGACAGGGTTTCTATGTTACTGACAAATTACTGATAAATTATTCAAAGACATCATAGGTGGCCCTGGCCATACTCTAAAAATATTCCTTCTATCAACGACCCACGATCGCTTGTTGTGAAATTCAATGACCCCAAGAGGACGACGCGCGTCTGCGCAGTTGTCTCTCGCGAACCACGGAGGAAAGCAACTACAGCAGCTACGCCGTATATCACGTGACCTTGTCTGCTGCTGGCTGAGTAAAGTGTTAGCGGTTAGCAGGTAATACAAAAAACAAATCTCGTTCTGGCGCTCAATGTTTATCTTTATACTTGAGCTAATTTAAACCGTTTCATAGTATTGTCCCTCTTGAAGTATAATATCATCGATTCATTAGTCTCTTTAAACCAGCTTTTCATTCTTTATTTCGTTATTTTCTATTGGCTTGTTCCCCGGCAAGTAATGTCGGAGCTTGCTTGGATCGTACGCTGTGGCCATTTTCGTCAGAATTGAATTGAAGCTTTGTGGTTAGCTAGCAAACTAGCATGTTTTGATACCTGAAGAACGGTTGTTTATTATTGTCACTTGGGGAGAACCCCCGTTAGTAAATATTCAATAATGTATGAACAAGAATGTCCGTTCGTCGTGTTTTGGTATATTTTTTGCAATAGTCTAAATTGCATTGCCAGCTAGCTAGTTAGCTAGCTACCTACTTAGCTAACTAGGACAAAGGGGTCCAACTGTCTGTCACTGTTGTGTATTATTTGGCAGCTAGGACTAGAATCCACATTCGTGTATTTGAAATGCTCGCGCTTGTATTTGAGTTAACATATCGAACGTGTCAAGACAATTAAACGGAATTTATTGTAAATGTCATATTTATAAAGGTATGCATTATTTATAAATTATAACTTAATTATGGCAAGCTATCCATAACACAAGTATTGTTTGCGTTGCACCCATTTGACGGCCGTGATTATATTTGCTAACAGTTCTATATTTTTACCGTTCGATGGTGTTTATGTCATATATTGTGTAGCTAGATGAATGATTTATGAGTAGCCAGCTAGAGGTGATGAGGCCAAATTCGATAATGTGGTAACTTGTTTTGTCGTTGCACAACAGCAGTGAAATCTCTTGGCGAGTGATTTGACCCAATATCTCATTAGCTTTCATGGCAATGCACTCGTATGGGGTTTAAACAAAAATATAGGCCCTGGCAGGCTATTTGCTAGGTATCCGAGTGCACTGCTTTCGCAAAGGCAAATTGGCAGCATACAGAAGCTGAGCTATGATCACTTAGCCACTGACATGCAGCTGCATTGTCCGATATGAACCAAGCAGTGTAATTAATGTGTGAAGATCTCACTATTCATTCTCAGTATTCAACGCTCAGTTTATACAGTTTAGTTTAGAAAGTGTATATATAGGGTTACTGGTCACTGTAGATTTATGCCAATACAGTCACATCACTGTGTGTTCAGACTTGGTGTTGCACAATCCCATCCAACTTTGTTGATGTGTGGATGTCTGATACAGGTTACTCGTGTCCAGACCAGGGAATGCATTTCAGCTCAAAATATACTGCAATAAAAGAAAATCTGGACAATCCTAACAACCTAGGCCTAAAGTTAAATAACAGTGTGTCTTATTTACATTTTACATTTACATCATTTAGCAGACGCTCTTATCCAGACCGACTTACAGTATATACCTGTCTGCAGTGAGTAGGGAAAATACTGATTGAGTTATTGATGTGACCTTCTATCCCCCTCACCCCAATTCCTCTTTCTCTCTGTTTTGTCATCCAGATTTTTCTATTTTGTACATACATTGTTTTGTATATACTGTATATGATGACCTCGTTGGGCGGCGACAAAGCCCGGGGCACTCGGGACAAAGTGCTGCCTGCTGCCACCCACACAACTCAACCACAGAAACAGCTCCAGGTGAGGGAGACACATACACACACACACACACAGTACAATTCACTTGATCAATCATACTTAGCAGGTCTTCAGGTGTTAAGGAATTTCTTCAAAACATTACTTCTCTTCCCTCCCTTCTCTCCTCTCTCTGTTCTTTTCCTCCTCCCCCACCTTCCTCTTTTCCTCCTCATCCATCCTTCCTCGCTCTACTTCCTCTTGTCTGCAGGCGACCGCAGAGCAGATCCGGCTCGCCCAGATGATCTATGACAAGAATGATGCTGATTTTGAGGACAAAGTGAACCAGGTGAGTGGGCGGGCGTTGCAGAGGCCATTATGTCAGTGCTGAATGCTGGCGTGTGTGTGTTGTGGTGTTTGTTTCCCATTGAGGCCTGCATGATTCCACATGAATCAGCAGTAATGAACACACTTGTGCTGTGCTCTCCTGTTAACTTTGGAAACCATTCTAAGCCTGTGTGTGTATATTTGTGACTGCATGTACTATAAAAATAGAGGGTCCGCACTCATATCATTTTATTTAAAAAATATATATATATTATGCAATTTGAATTAAATTGCACACCTCAATTCTAAGAGTGCAGACCTTTTCTAAAACTTTCTGTGCAACTAGAAGTGTGACAAATATTTCCTTCTCTGACTGTATGTACAGCTTGTGTGTGTCTATGTTTCTAACAAGTCGTACATCAGTGTAAATAGGGTCCTTGTATATTTTGTCATGTTTTATTGTGGATTCAAATGAAGCACTCGTGTATATTTGTGTGTGTACGTCCACAGCTGATGGAGGTGACGGGAAAGAACCAGGACGAGTGCATGGTAGCGCTCCACGACTGCAATGAGGATGTCAACAGAGCCATCAACTTCCTCCTTGAGAGCACCTCTGACACGGTAGGGCACAGGGGACTGACGCTAATGCTACCTTTCAATTTCCTTCAACCACTTTCCTTCCCTCTCTGGGTGATGGGCAGCTAGTCGTAGCTAGCTTAGTTTTGCACAGTCGCCTCAACTTGTGCAATAAGAAAGGCTCATTTTAGTTTTCTGGTGGAAAACGATGCGCTACGTTTTCATATGTTTTGTGCTCTAATGAATACGACCCCAAAGTAGATGTCTCCCCCGAAACATAACAGCTGCCTTCGTTTTCTGGTTTATCCAGGGATGCAAAGTAGTCACTTTTCGGCGATATTTGCCGTTTTGATCTCAGAATAAGTCATCCACGTGAATCGTGTAGATCTGTAAAAATACTTTTGGGGTTGGTGGTGGTGGGGGGGAATTGGGTCTGATGAAAAGTGAGCAGACTCAGTGTATCACCCATTGAGCTATAAAAGTGAGGCGCGAACAGATTTTCTCCCTGTGTGATCACAAAATAATGGTATGTTACTCACATCTGATCAGAGGCCGTCTGCCCTTTTTTAAGGTCCATACTACTGGAAAGTGTCTGTTCCAGGTGCGTAGGAGTCAAAATAAGAATACTGGAAGGAATAGAGACCTGCACACTGTCGAAAAAAGGAATAGATCCAAAACTGAGGCTTGAATGCAAAATTAAGATGTTTATTGAAACATCATGGTGTCCAAAGAATATATCATAGTACAAGAAAGTGCATCAATAAAATGTGAAAACAAAACACGTTACTCATATCGAAATTAATGACCGAGCACAGAATGCATCCCTACGTGTCCTACAAATAGAATATCAGAGTTCAGAGCGTGATGTCAAATCAGAATGAGTTCTTCATCCAATATCACGTGACCGCTGTAAAACCAGCTATATCCTACTCCCAGGAAAAAGTAAAATTGAATGTGTTGTATTGAGTAGAGGTGTGAATATCAGGGACAGGTTTTTGTGCAGCACAATTGCAGAACGTGTAGAAAATGGGAACAGGAGTCGTCTGGGGAGGGGTGGGGCAGGCAAACTTGGTATCGTGATACTTGGCCTGGTATCACATCGTTAGTAAAATGTTGGTATTGTGACAACCCCACTCTGAAAATTGGCACATTTTCTACACAGATCTTTTGTGTGTTTTGAGCAAAACAGTGTTTTTGAGACACAACTGCAAACTTCAAGGAGTAGGCCATTCAAGGAGTTGGTCTGATGGTGCCCTCTGTCATCGGCCTCCCCACTTGCTTGCAGCAGCAATAGAAAAGCTAAATTTGCTGTAGGCAATGAATCGCTCAACGACCCTTGCCACAGTCCCTTCCAATCAAGGCCAAGGGTGCCATGCCAACGCTATACACTATATATACAAAAGTATGTGGACACCCCTTCAAATTAGTGGATTTGGCTATTTCAGCCACACCCGTTGCTGACAGGTGTATAAAATCGAGCACACAGCCATGCACTCTCCATAGACAAACATTGGCAGTAGAATGGCCTTACTGAAGAGCTCAGTGACTTTCAACGCCTGCCCTGCTAGAGCTGCCCCGGTCAACCGTAAGTGCTGTTATTGTGAAGTGGAAAAGGCTAGGAGTGGTAGGCCACACAAGCTCACAGAACGGGGCCGCTGAAGCGTGTAGCGTGTAAAAAATCGTCTGTTCTCGGTTGCAACACTCACTACTGAGTTCCACACTGCCTCTGGAAGCAACGTCAGCACAATAACTGTTCGTCGGGAGCTTCATGAAATGGGTTTCAATGGCCAAGCAGCCGCACACAAGCCTAAGATCACCACGTGCAATGCCAAGCGTTGGCTGGAGTGGTGTAAAGCTCATCGCCATTGGACTCTGGAGCAGTGGAAACGCGTTCTCTGGAGTGATGAATCTGGGTTTGGCGGATGCCAGGAGAACGCTAGCTGCCTCAATTCATAGTGCCAACTGTAAAGTTTGGTGGAGGAGGAATAATGGTCTGTTGCTAGGCCATGGTTCGGTTTAGGCCCCTTAGTTCCAGTGAAGGGAAATCTTAATGCTACAGCATACAATTACATTCTAGATGATTCTGTGCTTCCAACTTTGTGGCAACAGTTTGGGGAAGGCCCTTTTCTCTTTCAGCAAGACAATGCCCCCGTGCACAAAGCGAGGTCCATACAGAAATGGTTTGTCGAGATCGGTGTGGAAGAACTTGACTGGCCTGCACAGAGCCCTGACCTCAACCCCATCGAACACCTTTGGGATGAATTGGAACGCCGACTGCGAGCCAGGCCTAATCGCCCAACATCAGTGCCAGACCTCACTACTGCTCTTGTGGCTGAATGGAAGCAAGTCCCTGCAGCATTGTTCCAACATCTAGTGGAAAGCCTTCCCAGAAGAGTGGAGGCTGTTATAGCAGGAAAGGGGGGACCAACTCCATATTAATATCCATGATTTTGGAATGAGATGTATGACGAGCAGGCGTCCACATACTTTTGGTAATGTAGTGTATCTATGAAAGGAAACTGTGAAAAGAGGGTCTTGTGCCAACTGAGCCAGAGGGACTTGTCCAGTAGCATGTTGGGTGATTGAATAAAAACATGCTGTTGTATAACTGTTTTCTACTCTGAGGGCAATAGAAAAAGTATTATATCCTCTGAATCTAGGATGAACACTTGTCACTTGTTCTGTCAGCGCCTGATTCAGTCGTAAAATAATCCAGCCATTTCAGAGGAGGGAACAGCAGCAAAGATGGCGAAATGGGAGAGGTCTTTCACTCCACCACAGCCCAGCCAGTCCCCGTCCCCCCCATAGTTACTCTCTTGTTGTTATTTCTTGGAAGTCCTGAAATAGAAAGCGGGCCATTTTGCTCCTGAGTGTGAAACTCACTACTGTAATCGTTCTGTGATATAATCTGCTGCTGCGGTCATGAATCCTTTATGATGTCTCTCTTTGTCAGTGACATTGTGACACTGCAGTAGGAGATGTATACAGGGTCGCAACCACATGTACCGGTATGCCGATTCCATAAAGAAATTATCTCACATGGACTATTTTGTACTTTGAAGTTCATGGGAAAGAAAGAAGTTCAAGCAGTAAGTAAAAAAGTATCTCTCTCTCGCTCTCTCTCTCTCTCTCTCTCAGACCTCGTGGGAGACAGTGGGGAAAAAGAAACCCCTAGCGAAGGACGGCCCGGCGGAGGGCAAGGAGAACCGGGAGAAGAGAGGAGGAGAGAGGGAGGGCAGCAGGGGCCGGGGAAGCAACCGGAGAGGCAGGGGTGCCAGCAACCGCAGCCGCCAGGGGGAGAGAGGTAGGGGGCCACGGAGTCTCTCAAATTCTATCCATGTTAATAAACGAGGCACTGTCACCTAAGCGCCAGGGTGAATGATAAGTCAGAAAGTCTGCAGCTCTCTAGGATTTGAGTTGTTTAGTACAGTTCTACACCTTTCAAACCAAGACGTTTTCCCGCCAACTTTAACATCCCAACAACTTTTTTCTGCCTTTTCTTTTATATCTGAAAGGTGTTGCCGGTATCAAGGCCTAAACTTTTATTTCCGCGAACCGATCTAGTCATGATTGCGGTAAAGTTCTGCCTTCGGCTTAGTATGAAATGTAGCTGTAATATTGAGGTGGGATTGGCACGCACTACGCTCTTAAGCTCTTGATGGTTGCTAGGCATCGCCCGTTACTACTCTCCTCTAAACTTTGCGAGGCATGTCACTTCACCCATTTCTTTGCATAGCCCACCACATGCACTGTTCTCTTAGTCACAACTGGATGGATCCATAAAGAATAACTGTGGGAATAAATATTACAGAATTACAAAAAATATGGGAATAAAGTAGGCTAATGCAATTGAAGGCATCAAATTGTTGCTTACTGAAACTCCCATTATAATACATTTTGAAGCAATAGCCTAATGTGTGGTCAGCTATTTGAGCACCATTTCCCGCTGCTTTGAGACAAGCGTGGGGACTCGTCTTGATAAATCAATCAATGTCAGATTTTTATTTTCACTGATTCGCTGTTTGGATATTGGTTATGCTACAGTCAGGCTGTGGAAATGTTAGCTAAATTGAGGTAAGTGCTGCTCATGATAATCTTGTCCAGTTGGCTCATTTATTAGCAATGATCAGAACATTCTGTTAGCATGTTATGTAGCTTAACAAGTGGATCATTTTGCTCTTCACTTGCAGTCGTAGCCTAGGTCTACTCCCAACCAAAAGCCTGTGACTTGTCTTAATCAATCAATGTGCTTTTGTTTAACTGACTCTCAGTCTGTATATTTGGTTAATTATCTGGCTGGGCAAATAAGTGGAGGTGGTATAACTCATCTGTTCGTTTGCTCATCTATCACTGATCATAAACATTTAGCATGCAATAATGTAGCCTAAATAAAGTTTAGGCCTATTATTTTGCTTGATCGCGTATCGGTAACTCCAAAAGCCGGCAGAGGTTGTGAAATATGACTCGCATACTTTTGAAATTGTAGATTGATGATGAAGATACTCTCAATGTAAGACCCTACGCCTGCTCCCTACAAAGCGGAGTGCGGGTAGGAAAGGGATGAAACGTGGATCAAAAAAGAATGGGCTTGCCTTGGGGAATCTGTTTCAAGTATCACTTTTCTTATATGGGGTTGCCCTGACGGAAGTTGTGTGGGAAAATATTTGTATTTTATTCTGTTATATTTCATTATATTCTTAGCCTACTATAAAATGTGTGTTGACTATGATCAGGGTAAGTGGGTCTTGTCTGTTAAAATAACTGTTGATTTCATGTGCATGGCGTAGCCTATAGGCTACACAGACCAGTAATATAATTAAACTCAAAATATGCCATTCTGTTCTTTTGAAAATGTAATATTTCTTAGGACCTGCCTAAAACGCATTAATAATGGATTTCTTTGTGATGGCGTATATTTAATGGATGTATTAAAGTAGACATCCACCCACATCGCCACCGCCTTCTCCCATTCCTGAACTTGGGAGATATAAAAGGTTTATCCCGGCAAGAATGTTTAAAATGGGACTGTATTAATTGGGTTCTATAAAACATTGCCAGTTTTTGTTTTTATTGCCAACATACCATATAATCTGTCTGGAAAGGGTATTAGAGTCTGTGTGTTTATTTCATTGGCGATACCTTGGATTAGGGAACACTGCATGGAGCAGTTACTAAGAATATATTGGCAGCCTATTTGTCACTAAGCCATAATTAGTCATCAATGCACTATTTAGCAGAATTGGTTAAAAGGCAACACATAATTTTACCCAGTTACTAAGTCCTGTCCCTTTCCCTTTCTCTCTCGCGGTCTCTTTCTGTCTCTCTCTCTTTCTCTCTGTGCAGTGCGGCCAGAGGAGAATGGTGTGGAAGTGGGCCCTGTGGACAGAGGGTCAGAGCGAGGCCGCAGGGGGGGAAGAGGGGGTAGAGGTGAGTGTCATTTAGTGGCACTTTCTCATATGTTCCAGTCAACACTCCCAGGTAACTTGTGGTATCTTAACTACACACCATTTCTTCGGTGCCATGCTTGCTGTGTGTTGACCTAGTGTGTGTCTGTGTGTGTGCTTCAGTCGGATCTGGAGGCAGAGGAAGGGGCAGGGTGCCAGCTGGAAGCAGGTTTTCAGCCCAGGGAATGGGGTGAGTTATGGAATACCCACACCTACACACACAAACTCTTACACACACACACACACACACACACACACACACACAACTGTCCTTCTCTGGTTCCTCGTACACTGCTTTGTCTTAAATCTACCCAACCCCCCCCCACAAGGACCTTTAACCCAGCAGACTACACCACAGAACAGGGAACAGGGACCACACAAGATGACTCCTGGGAGTCAGGGGCCAACAACAGCACAGACGGGACAGGTGAGGCCTCATGCACAGACCAGGACCATGAAACACTGGGCTTTTCAAAAAGTAGTGTGCACACATCCACCAGTTTCCCCAGGTGCAGAATAGAAACATCATTACTGCAACGTTTTGAATGTTGTCAAGATGTGTTCATTGTTTTCTTTTAATGTTCATTGTAGACTGGTGCTAGGGAAATGTCCCTGGACTTGTATTGACCTGTATTCTCTAACCTCTAACCCCTCTATGGTGTGCCCCCTGCAGTGGCCTGGAGGAGTACTCTGGAGGACTGGGCTGCTGAGGACTGGAGCGAGGATGTGAGTCTGAGTACTGGGGAGTAGTTGCCAGGGGGTGGAAGGAGCTGTGAGTCTTATGTTCACATTTTGGAGATTTATCTTCAGATGGAACAAATACAATATACTAGTTCATCGTACAGAGTTAGTTGTTTGTTAAAAAGGTTTATGCTAGTTGATATGGAGCTTTCCTTGAAGTGGACAGTGTTAGATCGGCCATTTTGGATGGTAATTTAACAAAACCATAGTTTGGCTTGCACCTCACAACTCTGCCTATTGCATTTGTCACCAACCCAGTAACCCTCTCTGTCTCCCCTCAGCTCTCTGAGACCAAAGTGTTCACTGCTTCAAGTGCACCTGCACCTCAGAACCACATCACACCTGGGCAAAGGTAACTCCCTGCTCAACATCCGCACAACCAACTAGGGCACATTTCAACACTGATTTTTGTGTTGTGTTTGTATATAGGACAATACTAGTGCTCAGTGGTGCACAAAACAACAGTTTTACCTCTGCCAGGTTTATTCCTTGGAGTGATATGTTTGGCCCAGCTCTATACATGCACAATATCCTGAATGTATGGATCCTTCACCTGTAGACAGGGTTCTCATAGTGGCTGTGATGTGTATCTCTAAAGCAGGTCCCCATTCTGACTGTGTATCATAGAAATAGTATTATGTTGTAATAATTGTATGTGTTACTCCTGTAGTCTGAACCTGGCCTCTATGCTGCAGAAGCCAGTGGGAGGAGGAGAGGCTCCCTCCTCTCAGAGCCTGGTCTTCACCAACTCCCACCATCACCCCACCCACAACGGGTCAGCCATCGGCACAGGCAGTACCAGCTACGCACATGCCGCCCTGGTGAGCCATACACTCGTTTCCTTTACAGTTTTCAGAAACATATTTCCCGTACTCGATCGCTGTATTTAGCTTGTATTACCATAGCGCACCATTAATTCTGAAAATATGTCTTAAACAATTTACAAGCACCCCAATCTAACTCTCTCTATCTCTCTCGCTGCCTGCCAGTCGTCAGTGCTGGGGGCAGGTTTTGGGGACCTGGGTCAGTCTAAGAGGAGTCAGTCCAGTCCGGGGGCCCAGATCTTGGAGCAGCTGAAGGGCCCAGGCCTGGGTCCTCTCCCTTCCTCCCAGGCAGCCCCCCCTCCCAGCACACAGGGGGCCAGCAGCACCTCTCTGGGGAGTAGACTCCCAGGGTTAGGAGTAGCACCCCCGGTCCTCCCTCCACCTTCCACTTCCAGCTGGGACAACAAGGCCCCTGAGCCCAGCACCACCACCTCCTCACTCACCTCCCACTTCAGCCGTGAGACACACACACTTGTTTTTCTATCCTCGTGGGGACCTAAACATTATTTCCATTCAGATCCTATTTTCCCTAACCCCTAAACCTAACCTTAACACCTAACCCTGATTCTAACCCTGATTGTAACCCTAACTCTCATTGTAACCATAAACCTAACCTCTAAGCTTAAAATAGCATTTGTCCTCATGGGGACATGGTAAATGTTCCTTAGAGGGAGAATCTTCCTTGTTTTACTATCCTTGTGGGGACATTTGGTGATTTCACATCCCCACGAGGATAGAAGAACAAGACCACACACTCTAACACTTTTTATCCGATTTTGTTAGAGATTTATCAAATTCACCTATAATTTCAAATACCTGGCATATGGTTCAAAAAATAAATGACCATGTGTCTTTATGTGGTGTTTGTGTCAATATGCCTGGCTGATCTGTATTTGTGTGTGTGTGTTGGCCCTCCAGGGGAGTTTAGGCTGCAGCCTGAGCCATCCCTGGTGCTGAGCCATCTGGCCCAGAGACACAGCGCCCCCTCCCTGCCCCTGGTGTGCCAGTCCAGCCCCCCGCCAGCCCAATCCCCATCCCCCAGCCAGGGACCCCCCCTGGCCGCCATCGGTGCCAAGCCTGCCCCCAGCGCAGGGCCGGACCCTCAGGGCAGCAGCTCGCTGCAGCAGCACCGCATTCCGCAGCTAAAGGCTCAGAAACGAAGGATACCTCCCACCTCCAAGGTAAGGAACCATAGCCAAGTCTTTCCTCGATTCCCTGTGTGAAGTCAAGGAATTAAGGACAGGGTGAATCAAGGAAATACTTTTGAGATTCACCCAGTGTGTAGGACAACCTTGGCTATTAAGGCTCTTAGCCCAGTTCTAACACATCTGATTGATCTAATCAAGGTCTTGATGCTTAATTGATCAATGCCCAACATTGTAGAGCACTGTTCTAAATTAAGAAGGGTATTGGGTATCAAGATAACAGGCTGATCTTCTCAGATACAAGGGTTGTGAATGATAATGAAAATGTTAGACAGTAAGCCCACTCTGAGTGAGAGCTTTCCCTCCCCTCCTGTCCAGATCCCCTTGTCGGCGGTGGAAATGCCTGGCTCTGCCGACATCCCCGGTCTAAACGTTCAGTTCGGAGCGCTGGACTTTGGCTCGGAGGCAGCCCTGCCGGACTTTGGCCCTGTGGAGACATGCGTCAGCGTGGCCTCCAGGGAGTCCACCAGGGCCCCCGCCCCACAGAGCCAGACCAACCTCTACTCCAAACCCCTCAGGTGGGTCACAATTACCACCACAGGTGTATTCAGTGAGGTTAAATGTTGCGAATAGAAAAGTAACACGTTTACGTGATTCCTCTTTGTGCCTGTCAGACAATCCTATCTGTTCTGCACAACATTTCTATGTTATTCTATGTCTAGCTATATGTATATTCTGTTATGTTGCACTCTCCTGAAAGGACCCCAGGGGTGGCCAACAGATTGAAGACTATGCTAGCACACCCCTTGGACTAGAAGTCTATTTGAAGTCATTATACTATGTACTTGTTCTTATGGCATGTTTATAACTAAAACCTCCTTCTCTGTTTGTCACCAGTGAATCTATGGGCATCCCTCTCTCCGTTCCCCTCCCTCTGTCCTCCTCTGAGCCCATCTACCACTTCCCGTCGGTGGCCATGCCCAGCCTCGCCCCCTCCTCTATGGGTACGGTCAGCTCCTCCACTCCCTCCTCCTCCATCTCTTCCTCGGTGCCCTCCTCCTCCACATCTCCCTTCGTCTCACTGGGAAGCGGTTATGACTGTGGGCCTGTGGCCCCTCACTCACGCCTGGCCTTCTCCCAGAGCAAAGAGGCCCCCGGACCAATCATGGTGAGTCAATGTTTGGGTTATCTATCTAACATTGAAGGCCATCGGGGTCATATTCATTAGGCACCAAACGGACTGAAACATGGAGGAACTACCTGAACTTGTCCAATAAGAAGCGGTTGTTTTTGTTTTCCGTTGCAAAACGTTTTTCTACATGCTCTAATGAACAAGACCCTCCCACACAGTGTCCTGGCTTGTGTAATAGTGAGACGCATCAGTTGTGTATGAAATAAATAAACATGATAAAATAATTTCCCACTGTTGGATAATAAAGATAAATTGACTTGAGTGAAGAATCCAAACTTGGTCGTTTGCTCGTCTCAACAGAACGGTCTGAACGGTGTGAGGACGTCTGCTATGGACAGTAAGTAACACATTTCATTCAATCATTCATTCATTCAGTGCTGCTACTTTTGTAGTTAAATTATATGGGATTGTTTCTCTCTCTCTCGCTCTCTCTCTCTCTCTCTCTCTTTTTCTCTCTCTTTTTCCAGCTTCATCAGCCTCCTCCACGCCAGAGTCTCCCTCTCCGAGCATCAGTACCAGCAGTGCTCCTGCCCCCTCTGCCCTCATGCCCTCCTCCATACCCCCCCAAAGCTCAGCACTTCCCAGTCTGCCACATGACATGCCCTCTGCCAGCCTGGCAACACAGAACAGGTAACACACACACCTACTCGCTCTTGCCTTGACGTCTTTGGATGTGTGCTTGTATTGACGTGAGTGAGAGGCAATTTATACATACAGAATTCAAGTTTGCCGCTATAGGCTAGAAATGCAGTAACCTTGAGATTAATAAACTTGATCATGAATATACAGTGGGGAAAAAAAGTATTTAGTCAGCCACCAATTGTGCAAGTTCTCCCACTTAAAAAGATGAGAGAGGCCTGTAATTTTCATCATATGTACATGTCAACTATGACAGACAAATTGAGGAAAAAAATCCAGAAAATCACATTGTAGGATTTTTTATGAATTTATTTGCAAATTATGGTGGAAAATAAGTATTTGGTCACCTACAAACAAGCAAGATTTCTGGCTCTCACAGACCTGTAACTTCTTCTTTAAGAGGCTCCTCTGTCCTCCACTCGTTACCTGTATTAATGGCACCTGTTTGAACTTGTTATCAGTATAAAAGACACTTGTCCACAACCTCAAACAGTCACACTCCAAACTCCACTATGGCCAAGACCAAAGAGCTGTCAAAGGACACCAGAAACAAAATTGTAGACCTGCACCAGGCTGGGAAGACTGAATCTGCAATAGGTAAGCAGCTTGGTTTGAAGAAATCAACTGTGGGAGCAATTATTAGGAAATGGAAGACATACAAGACCACTGATAATCTCCCTCGATCTGGGGCTCCACGCAAGATCTCACCCCGTGGGGTCAAAATGATCACAAGAACGGTGAGCAAAAATCCCAGAACCACACAGGGGGACCTAGTGAATGACCTGCAGAGAGCTGGGACCAAAGTAACAAAGCCTACCATCAGTAACACACTACGCCGCAAGGGACACAAATCCTGCAGTGCCAGACGTGTCCCCCTGCTTAAGCCAGTACATGTCCAGGCCCGTCTGAAGTTTGCTAGAGTGCATTTGGATGATCCAGAAGAGGATTGGGAGAATATCATATGGTCAGATGAAACCAAAATAGAACTTTTTGGTAAAAACTCAACTCGTCGTGTTTGGAGGACAAAGAATGCTGAGTTGCATCCAAAGAACACCATACCTACTGTGAAGCATGGGGGTGGAAACATCATGCTTTGGGGCTGTTTTTCTGCAAAGGGACCAGGACGACTGATCCGTGTAAAGGAAAGAATGAATGGGGCCATGTATCGTGAGATTTTTGAGCGAAAACCTCCTTCCATCAGCAAGGGCATTGAAGATGAAACGTGGCTGGGTCTTTCAGCATGACAATGATCCCAAACACACCGCCCGGGCAACGAAGGAGTGGCTTCGTAAGAAGCATTTCAAGGTCCTGGAGTGGCCTAGCCAGTCTCCAGATCTCAACCCCATAGAAAATCTTTGGAGGGAGTTGAAAGTCCGTGTTGCCCAGCGACAGCCCCAAAACATCACTGCTCTAGAGGAGATCTGCATGGAGGAATGGGCCAAAATACCAGCAACAGTGTGTGAAAACCTTGTGAAGACTTACAGAAAACGTTTGACCTGTGTCACTGCCAACAAAGGGTATATAACAAAGTATTGAGAAACTTTTGTTATTGACCAAATACTTATTTTCCACCATAATTTGCAAATAAATTCATTAAAAATCCTACAATGTGATTTTCTGGAATATTTTTTCTCATTTTGTCTGTCATAGTTGACGTGTACCTATGATGAAAATTACAGGCCTCTCATCTTTTTAAGTGGGAGAACTTGCACAATTGGTGGCTGACTAAATACTTTTTTCCCCCCACTGTATCTAAAGATATCTAAATCAAGAGCAGAAGGCAAATGGTGTATAGATAAATTAATGAATGTCCTTTATACAGTGCATTCAAAGTATTCAGACCCCTTGACTTTTTCCACATTTTGTTACGTTACAGCCTTATTCTAAAAAAAAAAATCCTCATTAAACTACACAAAATACCCCGTAATGACAAAGCAAAAACTGGTTTTTAGAAATTTTTGCAAATGTATAAAACATTCAAAACTGATATAACATTTACATAAGTATTCAGACCTTTTACTCAGTACTTTGTTGAAGCACCTTTGGCAGCGATTACAGCCTTGAGTCTTGTCGGGTATGACGCTACAAGCTTGGCACACCTGTATTTGGGGAGTTTCTCCTATTCTTCTCTGCAGATCCTCTCAAGCTCTGTCAGGTTGGATGGGGAGTTTCGCTGCACAGCTATTTTCAGGTCTCCAGAGATGTTTGATCGGGTTCATGTCTGGGCTCTGGTTGGGCCACTCAAGGACATTCAGAGACTTGTCCCAAAGCCACTGCGTGGTCTTGGCTGTGTGCTTAGGGTCGTTGTCCTGTTGGAAGGTGAACCTTCGCCCCAGTCTGAGATCCAGAGCGCTCTGGAGCAGATTTTCATCAAGGATCTCTCTGTACTTTGCTCCGTTCATCTTTCCCTCGATCTGGACTAGTCTCCCAGTCCCTGCCGCTGAAAAACATCCCCACAGCGTGATGCTGCCACCACCATGCTTCACCATAGGGATGGTTCCAGGTTTCCTCCAGACATGACACTTGGCATTCAGGCCAAAGAGTTCAATCTTATTTTTTATATTTATTTAATATTTAAAACATACAATATACTTGCAGTGAAGCCGCTCAACAACTACATCACATTAGTCATCTAACAGACTCACAGGAGCAATAAAAAATAAAATAAAATAAAAATATATATAATAGAATTATTGTAAAATTGACTCTGTCCATGGGGTGTAGGTGGTGGGTATGGACCGGAAGTGGAGGCCTGGGCGTTGTTGTTCACTAATTTACTCCAAGTAGGGAAAGGATGGTGGGGTTGAAAAGTAATAAAGGGGAGTATATATATATATATATATATATATATAAAAACATGGGGGATTGGAAGTGATGCAGACAATTACATTGATAGATTGTATCTTCTATCTGCAATATTAAGCTGATCCATTCCCCCCATTAAAAAAAAAAAAAAAAAAAAAAAAAACAGACTCACAGAAGCAACCAGGGTCAACGCCCCGCTCAAGGGCACTTCGACAGATCCTCCCACAAGGTCAAAAACAGGGACCCAAACCAGCGATCCATCAGCCACTGGCCCAAGCCACTGGCCCAAGCTCCCAACCGCCAGGCCACCAGCCCTCCAAGATCCCCCCCCCCACAGTTCCCCAAGAGCTGCCCCTCATTCATTCGAGTAATTGACTGACCCGGTCTCTCCAGATCTCCCAACGGTACTATTTCTAGGGTCAATTTTAGGTCAGTGTTATGCATTTTGAGCCATTCTTGAACCTGAGACCAGAAACAGGCTACCTGAGGGCTATACCAAAATAAATGGTCTCTTGATTCTGTATCCTCACAACAAAATCTGCAGAGCTTCGATGATTGTATGCCCCAAATATTCAACATTTTGTTGGTGGCAAGAATTCTATATAATAAGTTTAGCTGAAAAGCACGAAGTCTTGAATCTTGCGTCGTTTTATATATCAACTCATATCAATCAAATGTATTGATAAAGCCCTTTTTACATCAGCAGATGTCACAAAGTGCTATACAGAAACCCAGCCTAAAACCCTACACAGCAAGCAATGCAGATGTAGAAGCACGGTGGCTAGGAAAAACTCCCTAGAAAGGCAGAAATCTAGAGAGGAACCAGGCTCTGAGGGGTGGCCAGTCCCCTTCTGGCTGTGCCGGGTGGAGATTATATTAGTACATGGCCATTAAGGGAGACACTGTGGCCCCGTCCGACGGTACCCCCGGACAGGGCCAACCAGGCAGGATATATCCCCACCCACTTTGCCAAAGCACAGCCCCCGCACCACCAGCGGGATATCAACAGACCACCAACCTACTACCCTGAGACAAGGCTGAGTAAAGCCCATGAAGATCTCCTCCACTGCACGAGCCCGAGGGGGCGACAAACCGGACAGAAAGATCACGTCAGTGACTCAACCCACTCAAGTGACGCACCCGTCCTAGGGATGGCATGGAAAGCACCAGTAAGCCAGTGACTCAGCCCCCGTAATATGGTCAGAGGCAGAGAATCCCAATGGAGACACGGGAACCGGCCAGACAGAGACAGCAAGGGCGGTTTGTCGCTCCAGTGCCTTTACGTTCACCTGCACACCCCTGGGCCAGACTACACTCAATCATAGGACTTACTGAAGAGATGAGTCTTCAGTAAAGGCTTAAAGATCGAGACAGAGTCTGCGTCTCTCACATGGATAGGCAGACCATTCCATAAAAATTGAGCTCTATAGGAGAAAGCCCTGCCTCCAGCTGTTTGCTTAGAAATTCTAGGGACAATAAGGAGGCCTGCGTCTTGTGACCGTAGCTTACGTGTAGGTATGTACGGCAGGACCATATCGGAGAGATCGGTAGGAGCAAGCCCATGTAATGCTTTGTAGGTTAGCAGTAAAACCTTGAAATCAGTCCTAGCCTTAACAAAGGGCTAGCACTGGAGTAATATGATCCAATTTTTTGGTTCTAGTCAAGATTCTAGCAGCCGTGTTTAGCACTAACTGAAGTTTATTTAGTGCTTTATCCGGGTAGCCGGAGAGTAGAGCATTGCAGTAGTCTAATCTACACTGCTCAAAAAAATAAAGGGAACACTAAAATAACACATCCTAGATCTGAATGAATGAAATAATCTTATTAAATACTTTTTTCTTTACATAGTTGAATGTGCTGACAACAAAATCACACAAAAATTATCAATGGAAATCAAATTTATCAACCCATGGAGGTCTGGATTTGGAGTCACCCTCAAAATTTAAGTGGAAAACCACACTACAGGCTGATCCAACTTTGATGTAATGTCCTTAAAACAAGTCAAAATGAGGCTCAGTAGTGTGTGTGGCCTCCACGTGCCTGTATGACCTCCCTACAACGCCTGGGCATGCTCCTGATGAGGTGGCGGATGGTCTCCTGAGGGATCTCCTCCCAGACCTGGACTAAAGCATCCGCCAACTCCTGGACAGTCTGTGGTGCAACGTGGCGTGGTGGATGGAGCGAGACATGATGTCCCAGATGTGCTCAATTGGATTCAGGTCTGGGGAACGGGCGGGCCAGTCCATAGCATCAATGCCTTCCTCTTGCAGGAACTGCTGACACACTCCAGCCACATGAGGTCTAGCATTGTCTTGCATTAGGAGGAACCCAGGGCCAACCGCACCAGCATATGGTCTCACAAGGGGTCTGAGGATCTCATCTCGGTACCTAATGGCAGTCAGGCTAACTCTGGCGAGCACATGGAGGGCTGTGCGGCCCCCCAAATAAATGCCACCCCACACCATGACTGACCCACCGCCAAACCGGTCATGCTGGAGGTTGTTGCAGGCAGCAGAACGTTCTCCACGGCGTCTCCAGACTCTGTCACGTCTGTCACATGTGCTCAGTGTGAACCTGCTTTCATCTGTGAAGAGCACAGGGCGCCAGTGGCGAATTTGCCAATCTTGGTGTTCTCTGGCAAATGCCAAACGTCCTGCACGGTGTTGGGCTGTAAGCACAACCCCCACCTGTGGACGTCGGGCCCTCATACCACCCTCATGGAGTCTGTTTCTGACCGTTTGAGCAGACACATGCACATTTGTGGCCTGCTGGAGGTCATTTTGCAGGGCTCTGGCAGTGCTCCTCCTTGCACAAAGGCGGAGGTAGCTTTCCTGCTGCTGGGTTGTTGCCCTCCTACGGCCTCCTCCACGTCTCCTGATGTACTGGCCTGTCTCCTGGTAGCGCCTCCATGCTCTGGACACTACGCTGACAGACACAGCAAACCTTCTTGCCACAGCTCGCATTGATGTGCCATCCTGGATGAGCTGCACTACCTGAGCCACTTGTGTGGGTTGTAGACTCCATCTCATGCTACCACTAGAGTGAAAGCACCACCAGCATTCAAAAGTGACCAAAACATCAGCAAGGAAGCATTGGAACTGAGAAGTGGTCTGTGGTCACCACCTGCAAAACCAGTCCTTTATTGGGGGGTGTCTTGCTAATTGCCTATAATTTCCACCTGTTGTCTATTCCATTTGCACAACAGCATGTGAAATTTATTGTCAATCAGTGTTGCTTCCTAAGTGGACAGTTTGATTTCACAGAAGTGTGATTGACTTGGAGTTACATTGTGTTGTTTAAGTGTTCCCTTTATTTTTTTGAGCAGTGTAGAAGAGACAAAAGCATGGATTCGCTTTTCTGCATCATTTTTGGACAAAAACTTTTGCGATGTTACGAAGATGGTATCCCTGTACCATGGTACCATGGAATCGGTACATCAAAAATCTCTTCCGAACTATTTTGCAATCTGTATGGCACAGCTGTCAACATCCTGGTCCTCAAATGAAACTGGTATACTTTCCTATTTATGCTATTTTTATTCCTGTCTTGATCCTTTATATTGGGCAGACAGACCAGTTCCCTACCTCCTCCCACCGCCACCTGCCTCCTCCATTTTTGGGGTAATGCTGTAATCAATTGGTTGTAATCTTGGATTGAGCAGACCTTCCCATACAATTCTGATAACTCCATGAAAGACACAACTCTACCATTCAAATGTACAATATAATTTAAAAACAAAAATCTTTCCCATAAATACAGGTCTTTTATCAACCAGCACATTTGAGTTCAGCCATAATATTTGTTGTAATATTTGTTATATCTTTTCATGGGGAGGACATTGTAGCCAGCTCTGCAATGTTTGTTTGAAAAAGAGATACTTTGAAAAAAATATCATTTTCAATTAATCGAAAATGAGACATGGCAATCTGCAAAAAGGCCATTTTAAAAACAATGGATGAGCTTTTCTTTGTAATCTACTTGAGAACCATTTAGGGTTCAAGTAAAACTTTTGAATAAGTAATGCTTTTAGAGAGAGGTTTAGTGCTTTTATATATAATAATCTCAACCCACCCAATTCATATTCATTATATAGATAGGCACGCTTTATCTTGTCTGGTTTAGCATTCCAGATAAAGCAAAATATTTTCTGCTCATATGATTTGAAAAACGAATCATCAGGAGTAGGCAGTGCCATAAGTGAGTAAACTGAGATATGTTTCTCATGGTCTGAGAGTCCTTTAGGTGCCTTTTGGCAAACTCCAAGCGGGCCGTAATGTGCCTTTTTACTGAGGAGTGGCTTCCGTCTGGCAACTCTACCATAAAGGCCTGATTGGTGGAGTGCTGCAGAGATAGTTATCCTTCTGGAAGGTTTTCCCATCTCCACAGAATAACTCTAGAGCTTTGTCAGAGTGACCATTGCGTTCTTGGTCACCTCCCTGACCAAGGCTCTTCTCCCCGATTGCTCAGTTTGGCCGGGCAGCCAGCTCTAGGAAGAGTCTTGGTGGTTCCAAACTTATTCCATTTAAGAATGATGGAGACCACTGTGTTCTTGGGGACCTTCAATGTTGCAGACATTGTTTGGTACCCTTCCCCAGAACTGTGCCTCCACACAATCCTGTCTCGGAGCTCTACGGACAATTCCTTCGACCGCATGGCTTGCTTTTTGCTCTGACATGCACTGTCAAATGTGGGACCTTTTATATAGACAGGTGTGTGCCTTTCCAAATTATGCCCAATCGATTGAATTTACCACAGGTGGACTCCTATCAAGTTGTAGAAACAACTCAAGGTTGATCAATGGAAACAGGATTCACCTAAGCTCAATTTCGAGTCTCATAGCAAAGGGTCTGAATACTTTAAATACATTTGCAACATTTTGTCTTTATGGAGGATTGTGTGTAGATTGAGATAAAAAAAAAAAAATCAATTTTAGAGTAAGGCTGTAACATAACAAAATGTGGAAAAAGTCAAGGGGTCTGAATACTTTCCGAATGCACTGTATCGATTTCTCTCTCTACATTTTAGCCATGGCAGCAGTAGTCATTCCTCAGCACTTGGCTCCAGCTCTCTCACTGTGAGTATGGCTTAACACACACTTGCACGCACGCACTTTTATTTTAGTTGTCTATGCCGAGTACAACCTCCTTGTTAACACTCTCTCTATCCCCCTCTGTGTAGTACACCAGTGTGGAGAGTAGTGTGAGCTCTCTGGCGCCCTCGTCTGGCGCCTACTCATCTGGTCATGCCATGGCCCAGTCGCTCCACCAGGCCCCGGCCCAGTCGCTCCACCAGGCCCCGGCACAGTCGCTCCACCAGGCCCCCGCCCAGTCGCTGCACCAGGTCAACAGCAGCATGGCTCACATCATGGGCACCATGAGCCACATGAACAGTATGGTCAGTAGCATGGGTGGCACCAGCGGGCTACACGCCAACCAAGCACTGGGGCTCAGCGCCAACGGAACCACAGCCCAATCGAACCTCTGCTCGGCCCCCAGGACCGCACCGCTGCTCTCCTCCTCAACTGGTACACACAAATATAATCATACGTACACACAGTTAACCAGAAACATAAAGCATACAAGTGAAACTGTAGTTGTCTAGATAGCAGGTGTGTCCTTGTGTTATCCAGGTAAAGCTCCTCCTAACCTGTCCCAGGGAGGGCCCCCACTACTGCCCAACCAGTACATCATGGGCCCAGGAGGCCTGCTGCCTGCCTACCCGGTAATGAGTGTGTGTGTGTGTGTGTGTGCGTGCGCGTTAGTGTTGCACGGTATACCGAAACTTCTGTACTTTATTGATACTAGAACATGAAAAACGGTTCGGTACTAGATTATTTTCAACTTTTGGTACTTGCGAATGAGCCACTTTTGAGAAGCAAGCGAGAGGAGAGAGAAAATGCAGACAGCATGTCTTCTAATGAAAACATCATACCTCCACACCCGTAACTTCTTGACAAAACTGGCTCCAGAACGAACTATGGAAATGCTTAGAGCATATGATGGCCAGTATTCAAAAGGTGTTACAAAGCAGTGCAGTGCAAGAGAGGTTTAGTTGCAAAACGACAAACTATTTTACACGACATTTGCATTGTAACGTTATTCTACAAGCAACTAAATTCCAATAATTTTAGTGACAATGACATCAATAAATATTTAGCATGACATTATAATGTAATTACAACCCAAAAGTAATGTGAAATGCACTCATAACTTAGCTATGATAGCAATATATTTAGACTACTTCACATTTGTCTGGGCTTGCTAGCAGTAGCCACTAGCCAGCCAGCAGCCCTGGCTGTGGACCATATGGCTGTGGACCATATTTGAGCTGTTCTTGCCATAATATGGACTTGGTCTTTTACCAAATAGGGCTATCTTCTGTATACCCCCCCTACCTTGTCACAACACAACTGATTGGCTCAAACACATTAAGAAGGAAAGAAATTCCACATATTAACTTTTGAGAAGGCACACCTGTTAATTGAAATGCATTCCAGGTGACTACCTCATGAAGCTGGTTGAGAGAATGCCAAGAGTGTGCAAAGCTGTCATCAAGGCAAAGGGTGGCTATTTTGAAGAATCTCAAATATAAAATATATTTTGATTTAACACTTTTTTTGGTTATTACATGATTCCATATGTGTTATTTCATAGTTTTGGTGTCTTCACTATTATTCTACAATGTAGAAAATAGTCAAAATAAAGAAAAACCCTGGAATTAGTAGGTGTGTCCAAACTTTTGACTGGGGGTGTGTGTGTGTGTATATACAGTGGGGAGAACAAGTATTTGATACACTGCCGATTTTGCAGGTTTTCCTACTTACAAAGCATGTAGAGGTCTGTAATTTTTATCATAGGTACACTTCAACTGTGAGAGACGGAATCAAAAAAAAAAATCCAGAAAATCACATTGTATGATTTTTAAGTACCGTATTTTCCGCACTATAAGGCGCACTGGAGTATAAGCCGTAGCAGCTAAATTTAATGATGTGTACATATATAAGCCGCACCGGAGTATAAGCCGCAGCAGCTAAATTGAATGATGTGTACATATATAAGCCGCACCGGAGTATAAGCCGCAGCAGCTAAATTGAATGATGTGTACATATATAAGCCGCACTGGACTATAAGCCGCAGGTGTTTTAATGTTTAATTACCATATGTAAGGGTTCGTGCACAGAGGGGATTGTCGGGAAAGAGATGGCTGCTTGAGGAAGCTCCCATTTATTAACATTTCAACAAACAAGTTGCATATTTGCATAACGTATTCAAGTGTTACCATTTAGTGCAATAGTAGCTACCAGGGGCGGTGTGTTCAATAGGGCGATATGGGCGACGCACTGCCAAACGGGAAAAGGAAGGGATTTTTTTTCTAATCAATTATATCACGGCAACAGTAGTTATCAGTGTTGTAATCTAGACGTCTGATCTGCCACAGTGCCACACTGCCACTAAATGTCCAATCAGGCTAAAGTCGTGCTTCAAATGGCCCCCCCCCCCCTTTTGGGGCGATTTCAGTCAGGTTGAAAATCGCCCAGAAGTCTGTCATAGACTCCCATGTAAAATCTATTTTTTTCAAATTTCAGAGCTTTCAATACAATCTCTATGGGTTTCTGAGGGCTTGCACTTACGCGCTTTCGTCATACGTAACGTAACCATGAACGTAACTAAGAAAAGAGCGGGTAGCAGCATCAATCAATTCACGTACTACTATCAAGATGGCTATAGCGTTCAGTGCAACTCGATTGTCTCTTTGAAAGAAGTTCACATCAAAGAGACAACCACAAAGTGCAGGAGCGCTTTTTTGAGTTCCTTCCCATCTCGGAATCAACCTCAGTCTCAATCGCCAGTGTGCTTTTGGAGAGACTGAACGTTTTTTTTGCCGACGACGTGAAAGTCAAACTCATTGCGCAAGCTTACGATGGAGCCAGTGTGATGAGGCGAGAGAAGGCAAAAGGTGCGTGAGCATTTCAAGAAAGGCCATTACGTGCATTGCTATGCGCATCAGCTGAATTTGATCATGCAGCAAGCTAAAAAGTAACTAGTAAACTAGTCCTCAGCATGCCTGATTTCAATGAGAAAGTCATTGACCGCTTTGCTGCATTGAAAGAGAGAAGAGAACAGTTTCAGTACAAGTAATGTAGCCTCTCTCTCTCTTTGTCCCTCCCTGTCTGTCTCTTTAACACACACACGCCCAAATCAGTTCACAGTTGATGTTGTTTAAAATAGTTATTTTTCATTTTAAAAAAAGTAAACAATTTTTTTTACAAATCTATACAATTGTCCAGAATATGGTTGTTCATATTTACAAAGCCATACAGATAGCTGTGTTTACCTTTTCTAGAAATTATTTTCAAATTCTGTTTTCAGGCAAAATGTCTATCACTGTTCATTTTCACAAATCTATACAAGAGGGCAGAATATGGAAGTCTATAAAAATTTCTTATTACCAATAACTTGCATCAATGTTTTCAGTAGCCTCTATCAAAAGCTCCTGCTTGCTCAGGTGCACATATTTCCAATTCAACCATGAGGCCTTTTTGAAGCAAGTAATGTGTATATCAGTATTGACTTATATGCTGCCCCTGTCTTCATGTTGTTGCTGGACATATCTTTTTTAAAATGTGTGTAGGTCACCTAAATCATCAGAAAAATTGCCCCCCCCCCCGAGAATTTTTTCAGGAGCCGCCACTGGTAGCTACAGAACATATACTGTGCTGTGTAAACTACTGTATCACATAGCGTTTCAGACACACAAACTTTTCAACTTTCAAACTTAAACGGTGCGCTCCCAGCGCACATACCGGCAGTGATCTACAGCAGTGGTTTTCAACCAGTGGTCCTTGAGGGAGTGCTAGGGGTTCCCCAGCAAAATTAGTTAATAGCGTCACAATCATTTAACCACTTAACTTTGGTTATTTTTGAAAAACCTTGAAAAAGTGTGCACATCTTTGAATATTTATCTACATTAAAGTGCAAAATAAAGTGCCTGTAACACGACAGTAAGCGCGTAAGCCTAAAGTTGCAGCAACACGGCTGCTTAAAATATACGGTAATCAGCCTACCAGAAAAGTCATTAATCCTCGTCTTCATCTTTTAGGCTAAGGTGCAGTACACGGCTGTAACCAGAAAAGTCAAGTCATTAATCCTCATCTCCGTCTTCTTCCTGCGTACTAAAACCACCAAAGTCCTCATCTTCAGTGTCGGAAACGAACAGGCTCAGGGTGGCTTCGTCAGCCACTCTCCTCTCTCCTTCGTTGTCGCTCTCAAAACCAACGAACTCCTCTTCGTCACTGTCGGAATCGAACAGCCTCTGAAGGGCCTCAGCTGTGGCGGCGTCCTCCTCTTCATCACGCAGCAGTCCAGCCTTTCGGAACCCGTTAATGATCGTGGATGTTTTGACACTCCTCCACGCTATCAGGATCCACTCGCAAACTTGAGCGAAAGTTGCTTTTCGCATGCGACCAGTTTTGGTGAATGATTTATCGCCGCTAGTCATCCACGCCTCCCATTGAACGTGTAGTGCCACTTTGAACGCACGATTGACACTGATGTCGAGTGGCTGCAGATGCTTCGTTGTGCCCCCAGGAATCACAGCTGGAATCTAGTTTGTGCTCTTGATGGCTGCTTTCACATAATCCGTTATATGGGCCCTCATGCTGTCCAAAACGAGCAAAGCTTTTTTTTGGCGAAAGAATCCTCCAGGGCGCTTGACGTAGCACTCATTCAGCCACTCATTCATTACGCTTTCCATCATCCACCCTTTCTTGTTGACTTTAAAGGAGATGCCGTTCAGGATCTTTTCTTTTGGCATTGTAATCCGCTTAAAAATCACCATTGGCGGAAGCTTTAATCCAGATGCTGTGCAGCCAAGAACACAAGTGAAATTCGTTCTCTCATGGCCAGTGGTTCTCAACGTGATGGACGATTCACCTTTCTTGTTAACAGTCCTAGTGAGAGGCAGGTCAAACGTCAAAGGCACTTCATCCATATTTATGATCTGGTCCGGTCCGATGGAATATTCCTCTATCTTTCTTTGTGTGAATTCGCCGAAGTTTGTTATTTTTTCCTGGTAGTCGGGAGGGAGTTGCTGACACACAGTCGTCCGCGCCCTGATGGACAGTCCCTTTCGTCTCATAAATCTGAAACACCAGGATGGTCCACCTCTAAAATTTTCAATTTTCATTTCGGTGGCGACTGTTTCAGCTTTCAGTCGGATCTGCACGGTGGAAACACCTCGGCCGTCTGCTCTCTGTGTGTTCACCCAATCTTCAAGAAAGTCTTCAAGTTCGGGCCATCTGCTTTTATTACCTCTGAAAGCTTTTTTTGACTTTTTGCATTGAGACAGTTCTTCCCGCTGGCGTCTCCAACGTCTCACCATTGACTCATTGATGCCAAGGCTACGTGCTGCAGCTCTATTTCCTTCTTTTACAGCCAGATTGACTGCCTTTAACTTAAAAGCTGCATCATATGTATTTCTACGTTTGTTTTCCATAATGAGGGTTTGTGCATGAAAACTTCCTTTGCACAAACTGTCTCGCTCTCATAATGTCGGTCTTGCTCTCGTTCTGTCTCTCGTACCACTCTCGGTTCCACTTTTACTTTTGCGCGCTACCTGTCTCACTCTTTTCCGGCCTCCAGCTTTTCCTGCTGGAGCCCGCCGCTTAAAGGTGGGGGGCGTAGACCGGTCATAGAGCCCATAGAGTTAAAGTTGGTGGACTGTAACCTGTAAAATCCATAGATTTAGGAGGTCTTCTAGTGGCCGTTAGCTGTAAAAAATCCATAGATTAGCCGCACCGTTATATAAGCCGCAGGGTCGAAAAATTGGAAAAAAGGCGCGGCTTATAGTCAGAAAATTACGGTAATTAATTTGCATTTTATTGCATGACATAAGTATTTGATCACCTACCAACCAGTAAGAATTCCAGCTCTCACAGACCTGTTAGTTTTTCTTTAAGAAGCCCTCCTGTTCTCCACTCATTACCTGTATTAACTGCACCTGTTTGAACTCGTTACCTGTATAAAAGACACACAATCAATCCACACACTCAATCAAACAGACTCCAACCTCTCCACAATGGCCAAGACCAGAGAGCTGTATAAGGACATCAGGGATAAAATTGTAGACCTGCACAAGGCTGGGATGGGCTACAGGACAATAGGCAAGCAGCTTGGTGAGAAGGCAACAACTGTTTGCGCAATTATTAGAAAATGGAAGAAGTTCAAGATGACGGTCAATCACCCTCGGTCTGGGGCTCCATGCAAGATCTCACCTCGTGGGGCATCAATGATCATGAGGAAGGTGAGGGATCAGCCCAAAACTACACGGCAGGACCTGGTCAATGACCTGAAGAGAGCTGGGACCACAGTCTCAAAGAAAACCATTAGTAACACACTACGCCGTCATGGATTAAAATCCTGCAGCGCACGCAAGGTCCCCCTGCTCAAGCCAGCGCATGTCCAGGCTCGTCTGAAGTTTGCCAATGACCATCTGGATGATCCAGAGGAGGAATGGGAGAAGGTCATGTGGTCTGATGAGACAAAAATAGAGCTTTTTGGTCTAAACTCCACTCGCCGTGTTTGGAGGAAGAAGAAGGATGAGTACAACCCCAAGAACACCATCCCAACCGTGAAGAATGGAGGTGGAAACATCATTCTTTGGGGATGCTTTTCTGGAAAGGGGACAGGACGACTGCACCGTATTGAGGGGAGGATGGATGGGGCCATGTATCGCGAGATCTTGGCCAACAACCTCCTTCCCTCAGTAAGAGCATTGAAGATGGGTTGTGGCTGGGTCTTCCAGCATGACAACAACCCGAAACACACAGCCAGGGCAACTAAGGAGTGGCTCCGTAAGAAGCATCTCAAGGTCCTGGAGTGGCCTAGCCAGTCTCCAGACCTGAACCCAATAGAAAATCTTTGGAGGGAGCTGAAAGTCCGTATTGCCCAGCGACAGCCCCGAAACCTGAAGGATCTGGAGAAGGTCTGTATGGAGGAGTGGGCCAAAATCCCTGCTGCAGTGTGTGCAAACCTGGTCAAGACCTACAGGAAACGTATGATCTCTGTAATTGCAAACAAAGGTTTCTGTACCAAATATTAAGTTCTGCTTTTCTGATGTATCAAATACTTATGTCATGCAATAAAATGCAAATTAATTACTTAATAACGTAACAAAATGTTGGAAAAGCAAAGGGGTCTGAATACTTTCCGAATGCAGTGTACGTCTAGCTGTTTTTTCTATGCATCGGCAGGTTTGAATTTCAGCCTCGGTTAAACTCAAGGGGGAGGTGTGTGTGTCTGTTAACAGCTGGTGCGCAATCTCTAATATTAAGGAAGTCTCGGTTCTGCTCGCCTAAGTAAGAATACCTCATGATTAAGCATAGACTATACTATTTACTAATATATTGTTCATTGCTGTCTATTTACCACCACCAACTGATGCTGGTACTAAGACCGCACTCAACGAGCTGTATAGGGCCATAAGCAAACAAGAAAATGCTCATCCAGAGGCATCGCTCCTAGTGGCCGTTGATTTTAATGCAGGAAACTGAAATCAGTTTTACCTCATTTCTACCAGCAATGTCACCTGTGCAACTAAAGGAGACAACTCTAGATCACCTTTACTCCACACACAGAAATGCATACAAAGCTCTTCATTTGGCAAATCTTACGACAACTCTATCCTCCTGATTCCTGCAAGCAAAAACTCGAATGACACGCTCAATGCGGAAGTGGTCCGATGAAGCGGATGCTAAGCTACATGACTGTTTCGTTAGTACAGACTAGAATATGTTCTGGGATTCATCCGGAATTCATCCAGTTTACCACATCAGTCACCGGCTTCATTAATAAGTACATTGACGACGTCATCCCCACAGTGACCGTACGTACGTACATATCCCAACCAGAAGGCATGGATTACAGGAAACATCCGCACTGAGCTAAAGGCTAGAGCTGCCACTTTCAAGGAGTGGGACACTAATCCGGACACTTATAAGAAATCCTGCTACGTCCTCCGAGCCATAAACAGGCAAAGCCTCAATACAGGACTAAGATCGAATCCTACTACGCCGGCTCTTACGCTCGTCAGATGTGGCAGGGCTTGCAAACTATCACGGATTACAAAGGGAAACCGAGCTGCCCAGTGACGCAAGCCTACCAGACAAGCTAAATGCCTTCTATGATCGCTTCGAGGCAAACACTGAATCATGCATGAGAGCACCAGCTGTTCTGGACGACTGTGTGATCGCACTCTCTGTAGCCGATGTGAGTAAAACCTTTTAAACAGGTTAACTCTCATTTAAGACTGCTTTCTGGAGTCTCTTTGCATTTCCAATGTCTCCATCACGTGATTCTCTGCCGCAGGGCCAGACGGATTACCAGGGCGCATACTTGGAGCAATTCTGATATCGTGACAACACTAGTGTGCGTGCGTGCATTTGTGTGCAACTGTCTCTCCTGTCCCATCAACTACTTTCAAAGCCTCTATCTTTTATCTGGATTTATGATTTCTCCAATTGACTGTACTTGCCCTGTGTATTCCACAGCAGATCTATGGCTATGAGGACCTCCACATGCTACAGTCCAGACTGCCTATGGTGAGTCTCAACCCTTTACCCTTCACTAATCAATGGGAGTGTTTGTGAAAAGACACAACAGGCAGTAGAAAGCAGTAGGATGTCCTTTCTGATTCTGTCTCTCTGTGTAAAGCCCTCTTTGCAGGATTATTACGGAATCACATTCCCTGGCCCCACAGCACTCTCTGGCAGAGATGGGAACCTCGCCAATAACCCCTACTCAGGTAAGCAACTCTGTCAGTGCTACTGTCAAACCCTGTTGGTCAACTTATTGGAATCAGCCTATTGAAATGTTCCAGAGAAACAAGGTCCTGAATTTTTTTTTTCGTTTTAAAATAATTCCAAGACTAATAGCGGCCGGTGCAATCACAGACCCCTAGCGGACACCTCCATGTCTCCCGCTTACGCCAACTTCTGCCCCCCCCCCCCCCTTCTGCAGGTGAAGTCACAAAGTTTGGCAGGGGTGACTCCACCTCCCCTGCACCCCCCAGCAGCTTGTCAGCCCAACAGCAGCCCCAACAAGGCCAGCCCCAGGCCCAGACTCAACCCCCCCAGCCTCAAGGCCAGCCCCAGCCTCAGGGCCACCACAGCAGCCAGCAGCAGCAGGCCTTCCTCCCGCCGGGCTACAGCTACACGGGCCTGCCCTACTATCCCGGGATGCCTGGTGCTGCCTTCCAGTACGGCCACACCATGTTCATGCCCCAGGGACAAGGGCCAGCCAAGCAGCATGGTGTGGGTCTGGGCAACCCCTCAGCAAGCCCCTTCCAGCAGCAGCCCAGCGGCTACGGCCAGCACACTTTCAGCTCAGGTCGGTTACAGTGAGGGAGCGAGCGAGACGCACACAAACACCAACAATCTAGTCGACCTCTGAGGAAAGGACAGAGTTGATGTCAGTATGTTGTTGTGGTGTTCTCAGGGTATGAGGACCTGACCCAGGGCCAAGCAGGAGTGGACTACAGCAAAGGCTACAGCAACTCCTCCCAGAGCCAGGCCAAATCTGCTGCTACAGGTGCTGGTAAAGGTACATCACCCACCCATCACTTCACTGTCATGTTACCTACCATCTGTCCCCCTATTGTTACCATGCTTGAACTATTTTATCTCTTGAATTGTCCACGTTTCTGTCTTCTTTTTAATTATTGAAAAAGATAACAGGTTCTCAACTAATTTGCCTGGTTAAATGAAGGTTAAATAAATACATAATATTGTCAGTAACTTGTCATTTCAATAACATCTGATACATTATCTTTAAAGTATAGCGTCATAAGCTGTCCTGGCATGATTTAAGAGGCATTATAAACTAGGTGGTTTGAGCCCTGATTGGTTGAAAGCTGTGGTATATCAGTCCGTGTACCACGGGTATGACCCAAAAAATTGTTTTACTGTTCTAATTAAGTTGGTAACCAGCTTATAATAGCAAAAAGGCACATGGGGGGGGGGGGCTGTATCATGCATAAGAAGAGCACTTAGCCATGGTATATTGGTCATATACCACACCCCCTCAGGCCTTATTGCTTAATTAAGTAATTAATTTGACTGTGATATGAATGTTTGTTTTCAACTACAGTATTGTATATTTTGTCGTACGCTAGGCGGCATCTCTGTGACATCAGGCAACACCGGGATCCCAGAAATCAGTGGCAGTGTTTACAACAAGACCCAGGTGAGATCTTCGATGTAGCCATGTTTGTATTTCTAATTTTGTTTAGTTCATTACGATACCCGTTAGTCCACCAGATCTTATTTTCCTAGGATCATACACCAACACATAATAATCTCTTGTCAATTAGGATTTAAATTCAAGTCCTTGCCAGAGCTTAACAGTGATGGTATTTGTTTCTCCATGGTTGTTTTCCACCAGAGAAACCTAATCGCTGAACCTGACTTTGCTCTCCTTCTGTCTCTCTCCAGTCCTTTGATAAGCAAGGTTTCCATGCGGGGACTCCCCCTCCCTTCAACCTGCCCTCAGCTCTGGGGGGTCCTGGAGGGGCCCCGGGGGGCTATGCTCCTGCCCCCTTCCTCCACATCCTGCAGCCTGCCCACCAGCAACCCCACTCCCAGATGCTGCACCATCACCTGGCTCAGGACGGACAGGTAACACACACACTCCTCTCAAACACTCACCTGCCTGTAGTGTACAAGGTAGTGTATAAACTTACTTTAACATGCCACACAACGGCACTGGTTAGATCAGGGGTGGACAATCCTACTGTGCTGGTGCGGTTGCAGGCCTGCACCCACACAAGCCATCACATAGCCCACCTCTGGTTTATATTCCCATTACGTCTTTGTTGTGTATCAGTGTGGTACTTTACTGGTCTCCTCCGTATGCAGGGCGGTCCTAGCCAGCGAGGCCAGTCTAGCAGCATGCAGCAGAAGAGCCAGGTGAACAAGTCCAGCTACGGCAGCTCCCCATACTGGGGCAACTGACAGGGCTGTGTGTGTCTGAGTGTGTACACGTACTGCATCGTGCCCACCTATCTTGACTGATCAGACCATAGAAGGACAAACCATTTTACAGCCCCAAGCTAAAACACACTACCACCCCCCCCCCCTACTCAATATTCCCCTTTTCAAATTTATGGCTGTTGTATGTAAAATATATTTATGTATGTATTTATACAGTATATATGTATTGGTAGGAAATGAAATGTGATTTTCTGCATTTGTTTTATTTTTTCGAAGGATGTTTTGTTTTATTTCAAAATGTCAGGAAGATGAGTGCATCAAAGATCATGAGAAGTAATTATGAAGTTGGTGAATATACTTGAACCAGAACAAGCATCATGTGGCGTCGACGATTTTTGTATGCATACATGACCCTGATGTACGTTACTGCTAAGCATCATTTTTCATGGTGAAGCCTTTTTTTTAAAGCTGTCTTTTTGTTTTGTAACTTGTCTCTCCCATCTGAACTCTTTTCTATTGAGGGTGACATAAGTTGATAGCTTGAGTTTTATTTTTACCCCCTATATCCCACCATTTGATTCCCACCTTAAGTTGGCTGACGTGTGACAGCCAGGCATTGGATTTGATGTCAATAACATTGGTTTAATCTTCATTGTCCAACAAATAAAAGTTCTGAACAGTTATGAATTATAAACTTTTTGCTCTCTAGAACCACACATTTTATTGGATTATTATACAAAACATTGCAAGTCCACATGATACCGTACTGTAAACCAGTCAATCATAGCATATTCTTGAAATGCAACATGTACTCAACCATTGGTTTAGTCACTCACAGGGTGAAATAAACTCCTTCCCCACTTTGAAACTAAGATAAAGGTTTGATCTTTGGAGGCTTGTTTACATGTAGTCACAACATGCCTTGTACTTTGTTTGGATATTCAAAGATCAATAAAGTTCCCTTCAGGAATTGTCTACTCCGCAACCATCAAGGATAAGCAAGCAGGGACTTGATTTGCTTAATTCAATGAACATCGTCTGCCCATACCATAACCCCACCATGGGGCACTGTTCACAACGTTGACATCCGGAAACCGCTTGTCTGCCCCAAACCAGAATTAATCAGTGAAGAGCACATGGAAGGTGTGCATTTTCCCACTTTAGTCAATTATGACGCTGAACTGCAGTCCGGTCAAGACCCCCGTGAGGACGAGAACGCAAATTAGCTTTACTGAGACGGTTTTAACAGTTTCTGTAGAAATTATTTGGTTGCGCAAACCCAGTTTCATCAGCTGTCCGGGTAGCTGGTCTCACAATCGTGGAGGTCCTGGGCTGGCGTGGATACACGTGGTCTGCAGAGGAGGCCAGTTGGACATACTGCCAAATTCTAAAAAATGTCAAGAGGTGGCTTATGGTAGAGAAATGAACATTAAATTCTCTGGGGGACATTCCTGCAGTCAGCATGCCAATTGCACACTCCCTCAAAACTTGACATTGTGTTGTGACACTACATTTTAGAGCGGCCTTTTATTGTCCAAAGCACAAGGTGCATCTGTGTAATAATAATTCCGTTTAATCAGCTTCTGGATATGCGACACCTGTCAGGTGGATACATTAGAAATGCTCACTAGCATGGACGTGCACAAAATTTGAGTGAAACTAGCTTTGTGTGTATGTAACATTTCTGCAAACTTTTATTTCAGCTGATGAAACATGGGACCAAGATGTTACATGTTGCGTTTTATATTTTTGTTCAGTATATTTCAGACACAGCAGGTAGGTAACGTATATGATCTTTGGTTTAAAAATGGTTGGAAGCAAGTTGACGGTGAACAGATTTGATAGAGAAAATTGACATATTTACATAAAAGGGATGGGATTTCATTAACGTCAAGGCACTGAGCCGAATATTGACTTTCAGTGTAAAGTGCGTTGAGGCTAAGGAAGGGAAAGTATAAAATTCAGACAAACACTGGTCATAATCACACACAAAAAAACTCTAGAATCCTCTAGTCGGCATATTTTTTCTTTTTCTTCTCAGTCTGGGGTGTTTCTGGGGCCACCACCATTGCCTCACTCTTTCGTTTATTTTTCTTCTTGGCTATGGGGTCTCCGTTCTCTGCTGCTGGAGCCTCTTCCTCCATTTGGACAGCCTCTGCTGCATGCTTCTTTACCACAACGATCACCGTCTCCGTTCTCACCATTAGCCTAAAACCATAAACAGAAACACATTAGGATGTTTCATAATTGCTCCATGGCTTAAGTTCATTTCAGTATGACAAGAGTTGTAATGTCCGACTCACTTCAGTGATTTGGTCTACTGTAGGAGACCAGCCAATGGTTCGGAGTAAAGTTAATTTAGCATGTCGTACACTGAGACAGGACCATGTGGAAGGGTCAAATTCCAAATCAAAACATGCTGTGCTGAACCAATACATACATCTTCATCGCCTGTGGAAAGGGCTGCCAGCTTCTTCTCCTGCTTCCTACGTTTCTTCTCCTTTTTCCTCCAATTTGATCTTTATCTCAGCTGCCACCTCTCCTGCTTTGGAGTGGTAAGCCAAACAGCATGGTTAAACATCTAACACTTCTAGAAGACTAGCTGCTAGTGGCACTGATGCGCTTCAGTGCTGTGTCAGGCTCATTAAATCAGTTAAACCCCCCACGTTTGAGTCGGGGAAAGTGTCGTCATCACTCACAGCAGGTTAGCTAAACATCTACAAGGAAAGAGTTCTAAACACAGGGTACATACACATTGACAGATGAAATTTCATGACTTGAAACCAAACTTCCATGACCAACGTATTAAAAAACGTACACGTAATGTGGTATTGACACTGGGAGGCAGCTCTCTGATCCCATGTACCATCTGTCATTGTGCAAGGCACTTAACCCTCCACAATACCTGTTAGGCAAATGTATAACACATGGCCAACCCTCAATCTGGAGAGGCTTTTGATCAAGCCCTGCTCAAACAGAGCCAGTTTATCAAGGTCTGGTTGAGCAGCTAATTTCTAAAATGTGGTTTGTTCGAAGGGGACTGGAATAAAAGCCTGCATTGTCATTAGCTCTACTGGAGGATGGTTGACCACCATGGCTGTATAACATTGCAACCAATATGTCTCATTCAATATATCAAAGATCAAATGGCTTTGGTAGGCTACAAATCTTTGTATTCAGCTGAAGCAAGCCCATAGGAAATTTACATTTTAGTTTGGGCATTTATCTTAGCTGCCTTAGAAGTGTTTACTTTGCAGGCTGACTAGCATCTATTGAGTTGCAATGTCCCATACATTGGAAGCCCCAATCAACTTGGTGTATCTACAAAACAAGTTGAAGCCACATAATCCAAATGAAAGGCTATAGCAAATCAAATTGTTTCATATGATTTGATTTACTGCGATTGAACCGAATCCCAACTAATACAATGGCAAAGTGAATGTGTCGTCAAATAATGTAAATTAAATTGTTCAAAAAAAAGTAAATCAAGTTTGTATGGCCTTATTTGAGTGTCAGCGGAAAGTTTTGGAACATGACAACATTACTACATGCTCTTAATAGCTTAACAGTTATCTAGTGGGTACAATGTTTTGAATTGGCTACCTAGTTATTAGTCTGTTCTCCATCATATTTTAATAAACTAGGCATACCTGCTGCAGCAATGTCGGACTGTCTCCCTCTACTTGAGCAACGGCCCACTCGTCTCCCACACATGCAGATGATGCGCACAAGTATACAACGGGTGGGTCTAATCCTGAATGCTGATTGGTTAAAAGCACATTCCAACAAGTTGCCACTGCCTAAATCTACGACGTTAAAATGCTCATTTACTCTGTTCCACCTGACTGCGAAATCCACTGTCTCATCAGCCCAGCCAGGCAACTTATCCTTACAAATAAAATGTATTATGCTTCAGATATTTATAATTTTCTAAAACCCTTCTAGGCCTGGAAATCACAATTTTAAAATTCCATTACTTTTCCGGGATTTTGATGACCGTACGAACCCTGTAAAAGCATGCTCACAAACACAAGATGAATCCCATGTCAGTGTCATAGCTCACCTGTATCACAGCCTCTTTCATGACATCCAGGTTCTTGCGAGGTGCCTCGCCCGTCTCGTAGAACGACAGGCGCTCCTCCACCTGGTCACGCAGCTTGTCACCAAACACACAGGTGGGCACCTCTGTCAGAGGGATGGTGATGAAATGTCAATACCACCGTTAGCCAGCAGGGGGCACCAGTAGTCACAAGACCAAGGCTTTGCTCAGTATTTAGCTAATCACCATCATCCACCCAGAGGTGGCTTACTGTTGACGAAAAATAAGAACATCATTGCAAATAATCCAGAAGGGTCATAATAAACAGGACACAAATGAGCACCTTTATCTACTAGGCCCGAGCAATGTTAACACTCACCAGAGAAGGCATCAATTCGTGAGGCAATTGTGCACTTGTTGGCGAGGTAACGGGAGATACGCCCTTTGTTCTTGGCAGCAGCACGGCCGATGAAGGTCGAGTGGAAGATGAGGCCATACTTAGGAGTGTTGCCACGGGTCTTCAGAGCCCTGTGTGTGGGGAATGGATTTTGGGTTTCCAGTGAAAGTGAACTTCGCTTTGGAAACAGATGTTCCAACAGTTAATTGTTGATTCTTCTGCGCAATCATTTATTGGTTGAGTATGGCATGTCGGAGTCACAGTATCTACCTCTGTGCACTGGGCGGCTGCTCAGACTGTGGGGGTGCGTAAGGGAGAGGGATCACTCTGAGGGGGTCACCCCCTCAATCACCCTTCTCTGCTTAGCCCCAGCCCTGCCATCACAGTAGCCGCCTGTTTCCCCAGCAGGGAGTGGGTGCCCCAGTACCTGAACAGGGCCTTCTCAGCGCCCAGGATCTGCACGGTGGAGGCTGGGTACTTGGCCAGGTTGGTCAGGCTGCCAGCGTGGGAGATCAGACGTGCTCCCACCTGGAGAAGGAAGAAACACCACGTCAAGAGGTTGGCCGATGAACATTTCACCATGAGCTATGAGGTGTCAGGGACTGTCAGCACCGATGGAAGCCTCAACACAAAGAATTCAGGGGATTGACAGATTTGGTATAAACATCATTCGGTCCCGTGAGGAAGAGTATGTAGATTGGACAGTTGCTGAATCTAATTACTACGCACCACATCTCCTATGAGTGCAGCCAGGTTGGGGGCCACCTGGCTCATCTTAGAGCGCAGGTACTCCTGGAGCTCCAGCCTGTAGGCAGCTAGCGAGACTACACGGTTGGAGAACCTCTCAATGTTGATCAGGTCGATGGGAGAGATGTCCATGCCTACAGAAAGCCAGGGGAGAAGTTTCAGCGGAAGTCTCGATACCCAGACACGGGCATTCATTGTACAAACATCTCAACTTTGAAGACAAGGGAAGATGACTGAAATATATGTTCTGTATCTCCCGACAGGATCCGCAGTGAGGATTTGAGCACACACCACAGGTTTATGAGAGAACTATCATACTCTTCCCCTCTGTGTTGGTCATATAGGACACTTGAAAAGTCCTAGATGGGCAAAAAAGGGGTTGGTTTTATAAGAGTGTATAATATACTGTGTGGTGTGGCTACTGACCCATGGAGCTGCGGGATGCCTCCAGGACAGCCTGGGCCTTGGCACCGTCCATCACCACCTCCTCCAGGCTCTCTAGACTCTCCTCGCTCAGCTCCTTTCTGTTGCCGATCAGCTGGGCCATCTTGCAGTACGTAGAGTTGTCAGTCACTATCTTGATCAGCTCTGGGAAGTGGTAGCCATACCACTCACTATAAACCAGAGGGGGAGGGGCGAGCAGAAGTTTTGAAATGTTAGGATAGTCTCAACCAGGTTGAGGGCATACCTGACATTTATACTGCGGGACTGTCAGCACCGATGGAACACTCAACATAAAGAGTTCAGGGGATTGACAGATTTGGTATAAACATCATTTGGTCCCGTTAGCAAGACTGTTGAGTGGATGGTTGTTGGGTCTACTACTACGTACCCTATGAGGGAGACTTTACATTCACAGCAGCTGTACGTACCGCACACGCATGGAGAATGTGTTGATGTCCTTGTCCAGCTGGTCCAGGAGGGCGATGGACTGGATGATCATGTTGTCAGACCTGTTGACGTTGAACTTGGCTCTGGAGTAGCTGTGGCCCAGACCCAGCTGGGCCTTGGAGGCAGCCTGGGCAGTCAGCCCCTTCACCAGGGAGTGGAAGTGCAGACGCACACCTTCAGGGGAGAGATGGGTAGTGACGGTGAGTATGCACGGTGGAGGCACTTTCACAACCCTAGGTCATTGGCCCTGGCAGCTGTTCAGATTTTCAGTATAAACCATCACGAGGGTCAGGGGTTGATTATCTTGACATCACCACAGGCCAGGTATCGCCAGCTACACACAAGTTACAACATAAAAGACGAGATGACAACCCCCCCCCCCCCACTGTAGTCCAGGTTAGTCCTCACCTCTCAGTTTCTCTGACACCACTCCACCAGTCTGGATAGACAAGCCAAGCTCCTCCTGCAGAGCTCCCCCCATCTTGGCATCACCTTCTTCTTACCCCCTACGGGCAGGTTAGTCTCCAGAAACAGCTTCAGGTCAGCGTGGACCACACCTGAAACAAGTCGGGGTGTCATGAGGAAAGATTGAAATGTATAATACACTACAAATAACAAATCAGTTGGGGGTGTGTTGAAACATACATACTGCCTAATGCCATCTGGTATTATAAAGATAGCCAGGCCCAGATGTTCAGGTTTGATGATAGGTGTCAGCACAGTGATTCAGTGGATTGACAGATTTTTGATACATCATTACATCTGAGCAAGGACTACAACGGAGTAAATTAAAGCAACTCACCTTCTGATATGGCGTTAATATTTTCTAGCGCAGCCTGAGCAGACTTGAATGGGAAGAAAGCAGCTAAGCTCACCATACCATGGAATTTCCCAATGTTTAGAACGCAGTCTTCAACCTGTGGAATATGGGTAATTATTAGCTTGGCTCAACTTTCATCAAATATGGGTAAATCCTAATAAAAATGTTAGCATATTTGGATAAGTGGTTATTCGTACCGGTGGCAAAAGCATGCCAATTTCTTCCACCTCCTTGACGACAAAGAGCGCATACCCTGCTGCATGCTCGAAGAGCACGTGCAACAGCACCTGCGGAAGACACATCAGGTTAAAATGTTAGCCACATATTATACACTGAAAACACAATGACAAACTAATGAAATCACAATGCAAGTAGCGAAACACGCAAAAAAGGATGGAGCTTGGGCAATAACGCACTGCTTGCATATACCTGAGGACCGTGCAACTCAGTTCATATATATATTATAGACGCAGTCAAATTTTGATAACGCGATCCCCACAAAAGGGCTTTATTTATTACAAATTGTTTACATGTTGCGTTTATTTTTGTTTAGTGTAGATTTATTTTTTTACTTATGTGAACCTATATGAATTTGCGTGCCAAAAATCGCTCACCAAGACTACCTTCACCACGTGTTGTGGAGACCCAACACGCAGTACGCATTTACGTACTACGCAGTTCGCTTAACTGGTATCGCAAATGTTAATCAAATGATGCTTTGTTATCAATATCTATGTTAAATATGTTCATTAAATCACATTTATGCTTTCCTTTCGCAAATCTGGCTTTTCAACGAGACTGAGGCCTAGTCGTGAGGTTGCCAACACATTTCCAATCTTTGCTGAGAACGGTAACGACCGTCTCAATTTGAAATATAACGCCAATTGCATGCAGTAAATGTTTTATTCAGATATGATAAGTCATGCACGTTTTTGTAACCATTCACTTGCTAACTCGTCACCTTTCCACACTGAAATGGAATATATATGCCATATAACTGAGTTAGCTAGTTGGGCAAGCTAACGTTAGTTCAGCTTTTCTAAATGTCATGAAAATTTGACAACAAAAATCGTATTTCCCAAAGCATGTTTACTCATGAGTTATTTGTTGGTATTTTAAATTCTGAAACTTGCAAAAAATACCAAAATATCTTACCATATTTGCACGATCTCTGCCACGACACTCAATGCGTGTCCTTTCCTCTGCTAAACGACTGTAGAGAGACTTTTTTAGTTTTCAACACGCGGCCACATGACTGAAATACCGTGGGGTCGACTTTGTATCGCGAGATTCAAGAATTTTGCCTCATGTCGTGCGCCACCTGTTGATTGGTGAATGATGAGCTCAGCTGGGCGGGCCTGAGAAGATGGAAAGGATGCTGCGAGCGAGGTTTATCATGGGCTTTATCCAAATGATTGCAATGGAGATTATATACCTATAGATCTGCAAATAAATACAATCTTTACTAATACGTTTTTAGCTTAATCTGATTCGAATGTCATTCATTAAAATCAGTCATTCAAATTGTATTCTATACTATTATTTCAAATGACTTTTAATGACTGATGTCAATGGGAGATAGCTTCTGCAATTCATCACTGTTCACACATTGCCAGTATGAAAAATGTATGCACTCACTAACTGTAAATCGCTCTGGGTAAGAGCGTCTGCTAAATGACTAAAATGTAAAAATGTACTTGAAATTAAGGGGATAATTCGAATAGAAGTGTCTTTCAATCAATTTAAACAAATCTTTGTGCATTGTAATTTAATCAGCTTTGACATAATCAGACAGAAGAACTAGTGCTTTACATACATATTTAATTACAAACTTAAATATGTACAAATCATAGGGAAATTAAAATACATAGGCCTAAATCTGTCACATTCAAAGTCAAACAACTATTAGATTAAATCCACATAATTACAATTTCATTCATTATGTTTCTGACTGCAACAACAACAACCAAACGTTTTTATTCTAACTGTCAGTGATAAAAAAAACAATGCCCCCTTCAATTTTGTCATGAAAATGTAATAGAAAAAGCAGTGAAAATATCCTCCAAAAGTGCTAAATTTTGGAGCCGAGAGGGGGGTGACATGGGGGGCTCTGAGGTACCAGAATGCATGAAAAAAACTAAACTTTATAATAAAGCATTGCATGTATTATCATCGCTTTTGTGTGCTGGCATAGAGCAATAGAGTAGAGGCACTTCCAGAACTTGCACACATGGGGATTTTTTAAAAGCCTTTTAGGCCTTTTATAAATGCATTTCATGTGATTCTACATTAATTTTAGATGACTGGATTTTTTAATACCTCACACATGATCGAAATGACAGGCTACTTTGACACTGACAAACTGAGAATCTGACATCAATAAAAACGACCTTGTCTTGAATCCATCAATCCCCTATAGGCCTGGGTGTGTGGAGACATATAGGAAAGTTTCAGACTCACCCAATGATGCTCAGCTCACTCACCAGCGATGGAGATGCGCTCATGCCAAAAGCCTATCTCTCTCTTGTTTTACTTTGTCAAACATATTTGGTTGCCTACACATATTAGTCTTCTCTTTTCAGCAGAATCCATTTGCTTTCCAATCTGTGTTTTCCCGCGATTGTATTTTAAATGTTGCGCAAGGACTGTTTTTGCTGCATGCTGCTCAATGACATTTGCCGCGCATTCCCTACATTAGGCATGCCTTGTGATTGGGCTACACACAATCAACAGCTAGGGTTTATTTTTTAAATAAACTATTGATCCTCTGTGGCTAAATTATAGGCTTACTCTTAGTGTAGTCTTCTGAATTATTTTATTTATTTCTGAACAGACAGCAGTCATTCTATAACTTTGGCAAATGCATTTCAATTTATTTGGCCGCGGCTATGATTCTATAAGGGAATAAATTATGAAGTACAACGCTGGAGAGATGACAGTTGCAGGCTCATGTCATGTTTATCAGAGCAGAGAGTGGGAGAGAGATCATAAAAAGTTAATCTCATTCTAATTCTGTGAGAGATAGGCTACAGGCGCCCTTCTCTCTCCCACCACAGCAATGGCCAGTGGTGGAAGAAGTACCCAATTGTCATACTTGAGTAAAAGTAAAGATACCATAATAGAAAATTACTCAAGTAAAAGTGAAAGTCAGATTTTATTAGAATTTTTAAATTGCACACAGTGAAAAAAAATCGGTGCCATGAGGATCCTGGCAAATGGTTTCCAGAACAAAACAGTCCAAAATTGAAAGAAGCCTGATCCTGTTTCGGCTTAAGCACTGTCATCCAACATAGGGAATTCTACTTAATTCAATACTAAATGGGATTCTCGGCTGGCACTGGACTGCTGGTAACCACAAGGGACACTGAAGAGTTATGTAAAACACCAAAAGCTGGGTAGAGGGGCTCAGTGAATGTGGCCTGGAATGTGTACAGGTGGGTCATGGCGTCAGAGGAGACGCTGTAGAAGGACAGAGTGCCATCTGGCCAGTCCAGATACACTCCTACTCTCTGGGGTTCGGGTCTGGGGGTTGGGTCAAGAATATGAATCTCCTTATTATTGTGGAAGGCAAGGTAACAGTTATCTTCTTCGAAGTATATACACCAAGACTTGTCATTGCTTCCCAGTTTACAATCCTTTCCATCTCCCCACCTGCTGATACTTTTATATGCCACTCCTATATCACACTTCCCAATCAAATCTGCCTCCCAGTAATGGCGTTTGGTAAGAGGTTCTCTACACAGCACCTGTGACATATCCTCAAATCTCCATGGGTCATCAGGATATGGCTGTTCCTCTTCCACCCATGTCCCCTTTCTGTTCTCCTCAGTCAGTGAGATATTTATGTTTGCTGTGTTTGGGTCTAGTGTGACCTCAGTGACATCTGCACAACTAAGAGCAGTCAGAGAATTGTATCAGAAGCAGTGGGTCAATAGCAATTAGATTAAATTGCAATATCATTAGCAAAGTCACTTACACTTTTTAAGCAGCTGCGGTTTTAACCACAACTCTTCATTTTGGGTCAAACTGTGTGAGAGACAAAGGAATATGCACTGCTCAAAAAAATAAAGGGAACACTTAAACAACACAATGTAACTCCAAGTCAATCACACTTCTGTGAAATCAAACTGTCCACTTAGGAAGCAACACTGATTGACAATAAATTTCACATGCTGTTGTGCAAATGGAATAGACAAAATAGAGCAAAAACCAAGCCATGCGGTCAAAGGAATTGTCCGTAGAGCTCCGAGACAGGATTGTGTGGAGGCACAATTTTGGGGAAGGGTACCAAACAATGTCTGCAACATTGAAGGTCCCCAAGAACACAGTGGTCTCCATCATTCTTAAATGGAATAAGTTTGGAACCACCAAGACTCTTCCTAGAGCTGGCTGCCCGGCCAAACTGAGCAATCGGGAGAGAAGGGCCTTGGTCAGGGAGGTGACCAAGAACGTGATGGTCACTCTGACAAAGCTCTAGAGTTCTTCTGTGGAGATGGGAGAACCTTCCAGAAGGATAACTATCTCTGCAGCACTCCACCAATCAGGCCTTTATGGTAGAGTGGCCAGACGGAAGCCACTCCTCAGTAAAAAGGCACATTACGGCCCGCTTGGAGTTTGCCAAAAGGCACCTAAAGGACTCTCAGACCATGAGAAACATATCTCAGTTTACTCACTTATGGCGCTGCCTACTCCTGATGATTCGTTTTTCAAATCATATGAGCAGAAAATATTTTGCTTTATCTGGAATGCTAAACCAGACAAGATAAAGCGTGCCTATCTATATAATGAATATGAATTGGGTGGGTTGAGATTATTATATATAAAAGCACTAAACCTCTCTCTAAAAGCATTACTTATTCAAAAGTTTTACTTGAACCCTAAATGGTTCTCAAGTAGATTACAAAGAAAAGCTCATCCATTGTTTAAAAATGGCCTTTTTGCAGATTGCCATGTCTCATTTTCGATTAATTGAAAATGATATTTTTTTCAAAGTATCTCTTTTTCAAACAAACATTGCAGAGCTGGCTACAATTTCCTCCCCATGAAAAGATAGAACAAATATTACAACAAATATTATGGCTGAACTCAAATGTGCTGGTTGATAAAAGACCTGTATTTATGGGAAAGATTTTTGTTTTTAAATTATATTGTACATTTGAATGGTAGAGTTGTGTCTTTCATGGAGTTATCAGAATTGTATGGGAAGGTCTGCTCAATCCAAGATTACAACCAATTGATTACAGCATTACCCCAAAAATGGAGGAGGCAGGTGGCGGTGGGAGGAGGTAGGGAACTGGTCTGT